AACAACCTCGTGTCTGCTTATTGATGAAAAACATTGAATTTTTAGACTATAGTTCTCTTTTTTCTAGACTTCAACGTTAATCCGATTGCAAGAAATATACCAGAACGTTCTTCTTGAGATTATGGATCACTTGTACTCCTTCGGTAAAGTGCCGTTTAACTGGGAGAAGTATTTCGTCTTTTATAAGCGAGTTTTGTTTCAGTACTATGAGAATTCACTTACTTCAGTTTTGAAGTCGGTTGATTATTCACATTAATTTAGTGAAGAGTTTCAGTGATCCGTCCGATCCAGAGTTATTAATAACACGCTCGGAACATGCTGTTGTCTCTTCATTATGGAATGATGAGCTTCTGTCTGTGGTACTATTTATCTTCAGTTTAACCTTAGGTAACATGTTGATCTACAAATGTGGGACGTTTTGGAAGAAAGCTTAGTTCGGGACCGTTCAGTACCGAAGACATGTTATATTTCTACAAGACCGGCTTGGCACTGGCATGTATCAAGAGCGAAGGCGCCTAAATTTCGATGGTTGCTGGGATTGTGCATAGTTTCTTGTCGTTACCGATACGTATTTGCCCCAATGCGTACTATTTTCCAGCAGAGTGGTGCCCTGCTTATCAGCAGCGACCTCTCATATTCTGTTCGCACAGAAAGCAAGGAAATTTCAGGAAGAGGAAGAAATTCGTCTAGATAACTCATCTGGATTATGGGGCCAAACTTACAATGTATATATATATATACATATAATGTTAACATTTTATTTACTGCTTACTACAATTTCCCTGCAGATTATTATGTGTGACTTAACCACAGTGATGCGGAGATATTTGCAAAACTCCGGATCGTAGGTGTTTGCAGTGGGGAAGGAACTCGCTATTACCCTATCCAGGGGGCTAACGCTTTCACCACGATCAGGCCATCAGCAATATATATATATATGTATATATATTCATGTATATATATATATATATGTATTACAATTTACAGTTTACATGACCCATTATCACATCTACTGTGCGCGGACCCTAGCACTGTTTGAATTTGATTCGTTTTTTCTCGCATTCGTCGTCCAGAATGGTTTTCGAACTTTTCGCGTGGTTTCGCCATCGGCTTGAAGGATTTGTCTTCCATATAAATTCCGCAGAATGCTGGTCGAATCGATCCTACCTGTATTTTTGGGATAGCTGAGCTAAAGCGTCAGTTTAACATGAGGTAGCCTGGTAATGAGAAATCATGGAGCATTACTAACTTCGCCTTCGTAGACCTCTTCAATCATTAGCGGTTGTGGATTAGTTGAGCAAAATTGATTAGCTTATTACGAGTTATGAATTAGTCTATGATTTATTAAAGATGATATGCCAGAGTGTAGGTTTATCGTTGATTAGTTGTTCGACCCGTTGTAGGAATCGCTATGGTCTTGGGTGAATGCCAATTGCAATGCAGCAAACCTTCTGACTCACATAGTTCGCTGCATATAGTGAATATCTGGGAGAACCACAGCATGGCTGTCTTCAGGAGCGACATCGCTAGACCGGAATTCAACACATTGGTGTAGAAAAAATCTAACGATTGTCATGCTCCATTAGAACTCATGTCAAACTTCTGTAAGTACCGGTTACAAAAGAAGATGTGTAAGTGTTTGATGGGAAACACTGCTAATTCTAGATCATGAAACGAGAAGACTGAAGAATCCAAACAATTTTTGAAACCTACCGTCGTTTAACCTCGGTCAAAGTAATGAGCTTATAGATAAATTGTTGTGATTACACGAGGTTAACATGCAGATTTATTCTGCTAACGGTATGACGTCTTCGTCTTCATCAGAACCAATGGATGATCCAAGTCCATGCTCCACAGTTGTTTGTCATCTCGATATGGTGTCTTCGTCTTCGTAGTCGTACCGTGTATCTTGAAGAAGATCTATCTCGATATGAAGACGCCACATCGAAATAACGAATGACTGTGGGCTATCGAGTCGGATCGTCCATCTGCTCTGGTGAAGGCGAAGACGTCATACTGTGTAGACGTCATACCGTTAGCAGAATAAATCTGTATTTCAGCCTCGTGTAAGGTTAGAAATTTAATTACAAGAAGAAATTAAAATCTAAATTAATAGCCAGTTTTACATTTTCGACTTACCCGTGTTTTAATTCTTTGAACCAATAATAAGGGGAAGATTTAGAAGCGCTTCTATCTAGTTATTTTGAGAGATCTTGCTTATAAATCTCCCTGTGCTTGGTCAGGTACTTCGAGGTGCTCGGACTCGTGTTCGTATAGGTGCGAATGTTGATCTCTTGCCAATATTCTCGAATATGTTCTGTGATCATGTAAAAGTTCAAGGTCTCAAGGTTGGAAGGTTGGTGAGAAGACAACGTAGTTTTTTCGTTCCGTTTTAACCCATTTACTTATATAATAGAAACAAAGGAAGTGTTTTGTACACAGTCCACTCTATTCTGAACTAGATGGTCTCACTTTCCAAGATATCTCGTTAGTTAATGAGTTTCAGCCTCATCCCATTCCACGATTTCGGAAATGCTTTCGAGTCTACGGCCGTAAAACTAACGCATATGTTAAGCAGTGAACTTATTACGAAAATTCGAGCTTCTGGTCTACTTGAATTTTGGAACGATATGAAGGTAGCCAATGTTTTAGAAATGGATGGATTTCATAATCGACTCCTCACATTTATTTTCTTTACGGTGTTATGTAAAATTTCGAGGGAAAGGAAAATGTCTCATGGTTTTGGCATCGTTTATATTCAATTTATATCCTTTTAAAGTAAAACTGAGCTGCCTACATTTTTTAACACTTTTAACGCACCTCTTTAACAAGTCATTATGGTGCCGCAAAGCATGGGACCCAGACCAAATCGAACCACGATTATCCTTTCCGAATGTTTGCGTATTACACACTGTATCACGGAGACCTTTGCCCTGCTTTTCTCTCAGATACGAGTGATTGCTTATGGCAGCATTAGGAAGGAAACTAGCTGAGAGAAACGCAAAGCAAGGGACCCCGCGGTGCAGCGTGTAATACGCGAGCCCCTGAAAAAAATAATTGTGGTTCGATCTGGCCAGGCGTTCAAGTTTTGCGAATATCTCAGTGTCGTTGTGATTGTCCTTCATATAATACCCTACCGTGAAAAAATTATAGAGGGAGCAAATAAGAGGTTACACTGTCCATAAATTTTCGATAACTGGAGTGCTTGAGGACTTGACAAGAGTATAAGAAAGGCTCTACCCTATTTATTTAAGCGCGTGTGTATTTTGTCAAGTGCTGTTTTATTTTTTTTTAAAAACATAATCTTCGAAAACGCAGAAAAGCAAACTTTTTTTTCGCTGCTAGTCTGGCCATAACCTACGTCACTGAGGCATTAGGAACGCTACGCTACCATGACATGTTCGACGAAATTCCACTAGTTCAGTCGTTCCTTTGCTTAAGATATGAGTATCGATCGCAGAAAATGAAAAAGGGTACCTGTTTCCGGGAAACGGTTTTGTATTTTCAGTGCGGTTAAATAAGGAAATTTGCGCCCTGTTCTCAAAAATATATTTTAAAAAGGTAAAATGTTGCCTAGGAAACCTTGGGAAACCTGACATTGCCTTAGGAAACCTGAGGAAACCATTTTCATTAGAACTTTAAAAGCCCTTCAATAGAGATAAGTTTTAAAATGGCCCACTTCCGTGATTAATGTGAGAGGAAATGAGAAATTTACTTCTTTTTAAAAGTATAAAGTGCGTTTGAAAAGCGAGAATTGTAGTGAGGAGTAATTGTTTGAAAACCCATTGTTCAATGTCATTTACCCAGCGTGTCTGCTGTTGGCTTTGCTCTTCTATTCGTTTGTTAACCTAGAAGAAGTTTTTATTGCAGGAGATAACATGTGGGAGAGTGGCGCACTGTTTTGCAGCCTTTGTTTACGGTTCTACATCGGATCCTTCAAAGATGTGCAAGGTGTGTTTAATACTTTTCATCTTAACGATTTTGATTTTCTTTTGGATATGAGAGGCTGAGTGTGGTGTTTTTTACCCCTTACCCTAGAATGTTTTGTTGCGTCGGGCCACGATCTACATCGGGGTTTCATCCCCCTAGCAAGGCCTCCTAGGCTGAGAAGGAGTCTGGCGTTTCTGTCAGGAAACGCAGCTAAGAATAAACCATTACCAGGATTCACCACTGTCCTGGTATGAAACTAGTCGCATGGTGACAAATCTCCCTCTGATTCACAAGGGCGGTGACTTCTTGTGGTTGTGACAACCTGGGGCAGACTTCAGTTTGACCGACCTCGGGACTCGAGGGAACCATAATGTCTAAACCAGCAAATCTCGGAAAAAAAAATGTAAATTATGATGGGGGCCGCTCAACCTATGAAGACAGGCCATCCAAGTATCCAAGTATGTAAGAACGTTTTCTTGACCAAAGAAAGCATCAAAATTGCTTTTAAATCTGTTCGATTTCACGAATATGGAAAACTACAAGAAATTCTTCAGCTTAGTGGTTTTCTGGTAAACTTTTTGCTGTTTTGATCCAAGTTCAAAAGAAGTAGCTAATACTTCAATAGATTAAGTCTTTGGATTCATTACTGACAATGTCCTTGCATAAATGGTTATTTCTGACTGATATATTTTGAGCTGGACATCATGCAATCATATCGCTCTGCTCTACTTCGCGGTGGTGTTTCACCGGCGAGAGCAACGAGATGGAGACTAACACAGACGGGTGCCTCGGACACGGACTATAACGTTCATTGTGAGGTAAGTCCATGTTGCTCTTTGTTACAGAATTAGCGAGCACAATATCGATTGCTGTTTTTCATCGGTAATTTTGAAATGCTTTAATTCGGCTCAAAGGCAGACTTCTTCATCAATATGAGTGCCGCTAGCATCTGCGAACTTTTTCCAGCAAGGTGGAAGTTTGTTTCCACGTGTTTCCTTGCTCCCACGTAGAATATTAACGTTCTATGGGTGGTTGATTCCTCGAAATCGTTTTCAGCAACACTTTCACTGCTTGGCCGAGCACTGTTGAGCAAGATTGGGCTTTGTTACTCACCAGTTTTGGACACATACTATACATTTTCGATGCACATCATGGGTTTTTAGCAGTTATTCTCGTCCCTTATGGTTTCGTCGGAATTCAGGAAGCTTTGGAAGACTAATTGGTTGTAGTGCTCGTGTGGTGCAGTGGTTGGAGGCGCCACTGCGACACACACATGGAATCGTTTGCTCGCGTCCATGGCACACCAAGACTTCCATCTCTCCAGAGTCGGCAAATTGGTACCAAATTTGTCTAGGACGATAGCAGCGCTGGCTCGATACATCAATAAGCCACTAGGCCACCCCGAGTCATTGTAAAGGCCACATATGCATTCAGTCATCTCCAATGATACTCAATGAAGTCGAATGTATGGCGCATCCGTCAGGGATTGATCAACACCGAGAGCTTTACCCTTTATCCTTTAATCGGTTGTAGACCACCACACGGTCACCACAGCCTTGTTTTGCTTCAACTTCTCCTTCGGAAGTGTTTAGGATCGGCTCGATCCAACCACTTTTAATAGCACATAGTATTGTTGCTGATAAATAGATAGTTTCCATAGAGGAAAAGTTGAACAGACTTCATAATAACGATTTATTTGTTTTCGATTACTTTATGTGGCACCCAATTATTGAGTCCCTTCATTACCGGTTTTTTGACAACCGTTATTTATTGGCTGGCTAAACATGAGTTCTTTTGCAAGGTCTCGGTTAGTCTGCTCCGACTATCACATTTAAGTTGCTGTATTCAACTGTTGAATCGCTCCAATAATCATTTTTTGTCATCGGGACTCGTTGCTCCTTTACGGAACCTTTGGGAACGTCTGTGGAAGCGAGTCCAAGTTTCGATTTCGTGTCGAAATGTGCTATTTTATTTCAATTTCGTTTCAACTGTGAGTAGCTATTCTTTAATCATCAGAAAAGTACCGATGATGGGCTTCATATTTACTTGGATAATTGGATGGCCCGTCTTCACTGGTTATGCGGGCCCCACTATATTTACCATTTTTTTTCGGAGTTTTGCTGGCTTACCCATTGTGGTTCCATGGAGTCCCGAGGACACCCAGGTCATCACCACAGGCACTCGCCGCCCTTGTGGATCAGAAGGAGATTTACCACCATGCGACTAGTTTGATACCAGCACGGTGGTGCGCCCTGGTATTGGTTTACTCTTAGCTAGGCTTCCTGATGGAAACGCCAGACTCCTTCATAGCTTGGGAGACCCTTATGTGGGAGACCCTTAAGGGCCCCCGCTGTGTACCAAAGCACGACACCAGAAGCATCTCCCAGCCACGGTGAGGCAGTAAGCCGTTGGGAGTGTGGCTTTATACCTAAGTGAAACTTACCCTTAGTTTAACTTAAGTGAATTAGCTTCTAATGGTGCGTATTAAAGCTTCAGTAACTGTTTTCTAGCTCGATCTTCCTCTTAAATACGTATTTCGAGCTTCGTTATTACCAGTAATAAATGCATGTATGGACAACGTGTTCAAAATATACCGCGTTGTGGAACTGTTGACAAGTGTTTGCTCAGATAGTAAGTTTTATTATTAAACCTTACTGTAAAGTAAGTCTTGTTATTACTATGGATAGAATAAAATATATGGTAGCAGTGTTTTCCTTCTTTTTTTCTAAACTCAAATAAACTTTAACTCAATTTTGAATATAGCGAACACATGAGTGTTCTGCAAATTTCAATCTCGATATATTATTTGGCTGTTCTTGCAAGTAATGCTATAAACCATATTAAGGGAAAACATCAGAAGACTATCAACAAATTCATGATGACTGTGTGATAGCAGAGAGACGTGTGCGGCTTATGTTCTTCATAGCTTCGAAACTACTTGGTTTGACGAGCATAATCAAAGATCTATTCATTGGAAAGGTATTCTTTGTTTGTATTAAAAGATGAAGGATAAAGGATGACGCGCTGGGCGTTAATCACTCTCTGAGAGATGCGTTATGCATTCGACTTCGTCAAGCATCGTTGTAGGTGATTGATTACATATCTGGCGTTTACAATGACCCTCAATGGCCTAGCGATGTATCGAGCCAGTGCTGCTATCGTCCTAGGCATGTGTGGTTCCAATTTGCAGACCGTGGAGGGATACAGGGCTTGGTGAGACTGGGGCGCGGGGTCGGTATTATGTGTATTGCAGGGCACCTCCGACCTCTGCACTACACGCGCCCCTTCTTGCTTGTGTTATGCCGTTCACTGTTCGTTCAAATATTTTAGATTGATGTTTTTATGTCGTCTACGTTGACAATCTGCCATGGCTCAAATACGCTCCGCCATACTTCCGGCGGTTGCATATTGATGCTAGAGTTCTTTTGGATAGCAGCACTGGATTGATGCATTAGTAGGCCATCGCATCTTATGTGATAAGTCAGATATGCGCTCACAAAGTCGGATGCGTGGCGCATGCTTACGAGATTGTTCAAGCCTAGTGCTTTCTCATTGTTTATACATTGCTGTTTATTTGCGCAATCTTACAATCCGTGTGTGAGTCAACGTTTCTGAGCCAATTTTAATTCCCTGTTCAGGTTGCGTCAGTGTTCAGTAATCACGAAAACGTACTGGAAGTGTCTGACGATGTCGATGAGGTGGATAACACTTTACACAAAGCGGAATTGGAGCTCCATTCCTTGGTAAGTGAAAAGCGAATAGAGCGTTAGTAGATGCATTTCGTTTTATATTTAATCCTTTTCCAGGTGGCCCGCACTGATATTCGTAAGCAGTTCCACGAGGTTGTTGATATAATGAAACGGCTAGCTGAGGAGATTCGCCTTAAGTAATATTTTACGATCCGCTTCAGATTTTTCTTTTATTTTGATCCTATCCTCTTGTGCTTTATTGTCAAGGGGGAGGATAGCAGCACTGACTCAATGCATTGGTAGGCCACCGCGAGCCATTGTAAAGGCCAGATATGCATTCAATCGCCTCTTGTGCTTAGTGAAGTCGAATAAATGGCCCATCTCTCAGGGATTGATGAATGCCGAGAGCTTTATCATTTTTTGTACCCTTTATTCCGTCACAGTGAACATGTCTCTCGATGTCTTTTTCAGGTCCGTAAGTAACGATCTGACAGCAGAGACACTGATTCGCTGGTACAGAACAACTGTACGTACGGTCGAATTTCTAGCTGTCATAGGATCTGCAATGCCTGTCGATTCTGTCTTTCATACCTTACACTTAAAATTGGCCTACAACCGTGAGAACATCAGGAATCTTTCGTCTCTCATCGATTGAAATGGCACTTGAACTTCGTTTCTTCCCTTCAGTCCTATTTCAGTACTGCAGTGTCAAAGCTAATGAATACTTCGTTTTTCGTTCACGTTCTTCAAAATTCGAAATGTGATTCTTTTCTGTTAAAATGTTTTTGTATATATTTGGTTTTTTCTTTGAGAACTTTATCATTTGGCAATGTTAAAGTTCATTCTTCCGATTTGCTGATGTCTAGGTTGACTCAGCTTACTATTGTAAAGCGCTTTTACTATCTATAATATCGTTGATGTTTTCAAGGAATTGTTTTAGAATAAATCGCGTAAGTAACATCTCTTCTGAGATGTTGAAAACGTTTCGGTTGTAATCGTGATCGTAGCTGTTGGCTGGTTATCACATCACCTGCATCATCTGTAGTTCCGTTGATTGTCGAGTGACTGGAGCGGGCACCGTTAAACCTTCCACTTTTCCGTGTCGCCTGCAAGAGTAACCCATTGGGTTCTTCTCGCTCTAGGAACTCGTTGAGCATCATATTTTTCTTCTAGGCTTTCCGTGAAGAACATTGACTATCGGATCGGTGGTCGTTCTTCAGTACGTTTAACATCCTGAGGAATCCAGTCATTAACGGCTCTTGCCCATTGGTTGTCGTTCTTACGAATACGATGATGAAATAGACGAGTCCTAATGTATTTAACGCATCTGGAGCGACTGGAATACTCTCCCAATTTCTGCCCTCCGTTTGGTTCCCCTTGCCTTGGAAGAGGTGCAGAAAAATATTCCGAGTGGGAAGATGAGAGAGCAAGGAGTTCAGATCAGTAATTTCTGCAAACGAACAAAATTTGGGTTCTTGTTGGAATCGTGACCCTCTTATAGAACGGCACCACCTGGTACTGCCATCAGTTAGTCTTCTCAGTGAGTAATCCTCCTTCTTCTTCCTCTCTCATACGTACCTTTTTTCTTTCCTGCAAAATAATCTGTGGTTGGAGAATGTAATGTTCCTGGGTCAGTAGACGTCAATAGGACGCGTTTTCTTGCTCTACATTGTGTTGGCGCGCTTATCGGTATATTAACGAAGTAAAGTAGCACTTTTTTTTGTGAGTATGGTTGAAAGTTGTTTGTGCTGTGTTGAGGGAGCTTTAATGAGTTTTAGTGACTTCACGAAGCCCTCTCATTGAGGTCGTTAGTGTTAGGTGCTAACAGGTCCTTAACACTTCCTAAAACATCATGTGGTCTTGTTTTCATCGCTGTAGCTGTTCGTTTCAGCTTCTAGCTTTATATAAGGTATTCTCGAACATACTGTTCTAATCTTTAAAGCCTGATCGTTTGTTTTGAACATTTAAGAGCGTCCTTAGTAGTTCATGACGATTGCGAAACAAGTTGTTGGTTATTTTGTTACCAGGCTTTGCATTGTTGATATCAAATGGTTCTAAGGAACGTTTCATCTGGATTTCTTTATACTGCTTGAGAACCACACCAGGTCCCATTCGATGTGTGGTTTCTAGGATCAGGTTCGTTTTCATCTTTTGTTGGATGTCATTTAAGTCCAGGCAGGAATGTAAATTGTAGTACTGTAAATTGTGATTTTAGTGTTGGCGTCGCGAAACCTCGTTGGCTGACAATGTCCTCCTCACTAGGGATATCATCAGAAGTGCGTTCTCCTCGGCACTCTGAAGGAGCATGCAAGGCTGGCTATATGTACCTTGTGAGTCAAGCAGTATTTTTTCACGATTTTAGTGAATACACAACTGAAAATAGCGAGAACGTTCTTCGTTTTCTTAGAGAATGGAGCTCCAATTCCACTTTGTGCAGTGTTTTCCACCTTTTCGACATCGTGGGATGTTTCTAATATTTTGTCATGATTACTGAAGACTGGTGCTACCTGAGTATTATATTGTCACGCAGTAGTCGGCTTAGAAACACCGTCTCACGCACGCATTTAAAATAAAAAAAATGGCAAAGCTCTCGGTATTGATCAATCCTTGAGGGATGCGCCATGCATTCGACTTCATTAAGCATCGTTGGAGGTGGATGAGTCCATATCTGGCATTTACGATGATTTGCGTTGGCCTGCCGATCTATCGAGCCAGTGCTGCTATCCTCTTAGACAGCTCTGATATCAATTTGCCGACGCCAGAGAGAAGGAAGGCTTGGTGGGCCATGGGGCGCGGCGATCGATCCCATGTGTATTGCAGGACGCCTCCAACCACTGCGCTACCCGCACCTCTGCATTTTAAAATTTATGCTAAGATCGTGCAGATAGAAGATAAAACACCAGGGGATAAATAACGACAAGGCGTTCGACTCGAACAATCCTGCAAGGGCGCGCCATGTATTCGCATTTGTGAGCACAGATCTGGCCTACACAGTGAGTTGCTGTTGCCTACTGATATATCAAGCCAATGCTGCTATTCCTAAAGAACTGTAGGAACAATCTGCCAATTTTGGACATATGGTGGGGGTTAATTAAGCGAGGACAGACCGTGGAAGCAGTGATGAAAGGCGTTTTGAAGACGTAATCGTCCCTTCGAAAGTTTCTCTCCATGTAGCTCTTTGCTTGTATTTCCCTAGAAGGAGACCGGTGTTAACTAGTATTTACTACAGGTAACCGCTACTTTTCGTTGGCGTTTTCAGGAAAATCGCAGCAAAATTCAAGGGATTTTGTTTCGTTTGTTATTTTTATTGCGGTTGTAATTGACGTTAGGAACTTAAGGTGAATGTTTGGGACCAAACGGTATTTTCTTCATTGTTTCGTGATCTTAATTGTTATTTTCTAGTCGCAAAAGAAAAGTAACGAACTATTCATAGATCCCAGTTCACACGAAAGGAACTTGTGCTTGTTGGATTTTGTACTTTCGTTTTTCTTGCATCGTCGATAGGTTGCTTGCTATGCTTTTGTTACAATTATACTAGTTTTTAGGAGAATAACTTTCTCTATTTTATCTTTCTGAGCTTTTCAGCCATGTTTTCGGACAGCGGTCCATACCTTTGTGTCGCACGGACCGCTCCCACTTAGAGATCCACAATAGATAACTGGTTATACTATGAGGTGCATCCCCCATCACGAGTGATGTGTTGGTCGCTAATAAAGACCGACCATGTATTCTATGTGAGAGTTGGACGAAGTCACAAGACTGATTCCTTTTTCTGCTGCCCTTGATTGACATGTACCTTCTATGTGTTATTGCACTTGTTCACGCAAGCGTGTGTGAGTTACTCGCATATATGCGAACCGTATCTTGCGCTGATTGGTGGAAATACTGCAACTAACCGGGAAGTAAACTGGAGATGTTCGCTATCGCCTCATAAATGATAAAAGGGATAAAGCTGTTGGCCTTGATCTATCCCTTAGGGATGCTCCATGCATTCGACTTCATTAAGCATCGTTGGAGGTGATTGAATGCATATCTTGCCTTTACAATGACTCGAGGTGGCCCACCGATGTATCAAACCAGTGCTGCTCTCCTCTCAGACTAGTCTGGTACCATTTTACCAACCCCAGAGTGTTAGAAGGCTTGGTGAGTCATGGGTGTGGGGATCAATCTCATGTGTATTGCAGGTCGCCTCCAACTACTACTCCACATGTGCCTCATAAACGTAAGTAATCTCCTTCGCTTTGAGGGTCCCAATCAGTTTTTCTTGAGTAACTTCCAGCAAGGGAAACCCTCATTTCGCTGTCCGCCAGTGGGCCCACTAATAGCAGCATTGTATAGGACGAGCAGAAACAAGCTACTAAAATCCTTTTGCCTCTAGCCTGCAAAGATAAGGAAGGATTATGGTGACGATCTGTGCAGACCGTACACACATGTTAGCATTAGAAATGTCTATTGAAGACGTGGTGATGGAGAGGTTCGCATATTTAAATAGGTCTCATAACGAGGAGGAATGGGAAGGCACCATGCAATACTGAAGGAGACGGGAGCGTTGGTATAGTCATTAACACGAATTTTGCCATGAACATAGATTTTTTTGAACAACTAACGACTCGAGCCAGATTTTTATCGCTGAAAAATACAGATGAGTAGCAGCTGTGACGCCCTTTGTTGCCTACGCTTCAGTATCAAGCTATTCAACACCAGGTTAAGACATTCTATATCGACATTCTTGATAGAGCTCTAGTTTTAATAAAGTCGCTTTTGTCGACTTTGAGGTTAAGATTGACCTCAGAAGAACGTCAAGGATATTTCACGAACGTGCCTCTTAATTGCAATAAATAAGGCAGATGAACTGCGATCTGGGTTTGTCTTGATGACCAAGACTATTCATGATAATTCGTAATGCTGGAAACCGTTCTTTAAAATTTGTTGTACTTGGAGTGTTCTAGTGCAGAGTATCATTGCGATATAGTCTTTTCTCGACGTTTTACTCAACAACAAGCTCCCATCTCATGCACGCTTCTTCTTTTTGCAGAAATGGGAGAAGACGGAGAATTTTATCAAACGAAATTTCAAAACCATGATGGATTGGTTGGGAAGAATCGATATAAGATTTTAGAAAGATAAGAACAGCACTGTCACTCGAAACTGCAGAAATTGGTGGAGCTTCTGCAAAATCGGTTTTGACGAAGCGTTTGTTGTTGCAACAGTTTTCCAATTCAGAGTTGACATTTTATTTGTTTGTGAAGAACTACGCAGCATCCGGTCTTGACACAATTGGACACGAGGATATCGTAAAGCCAGTCATTCATTGCCCACCAACACTGGAAGGACTGTAATGATATTGAGGCATTTACAAGACTCCGGATCGCTGGTGCCAGGACCAAACATACTATTCCCCCCCACATACGCTGTGCGGATTTTTGCAAACATCCCAGAAATATTTTGGTTATAAAATCAGGATATTACCTGACGAAAAGCAATCGTTCGGGAAGGCAGTGTACCTATAAAGGATGTTCTGTACACTGGATAATATGCACTCCATAATAAACTTATTGAATTATCGCAAGATTACAGGAAAACCTTTTACTTCCACTTTCATTCACATAAACAGCCTTTACTTCTGTTGAGACATCGACGGCAATGAAACTGCACAAAAAGAAGAGCTTGCTCAGTGTACAAATATCTCTCATACTATCAAGCGGAATTTCAGCACTATAAAAGCATTATAGGTTGGCCTAAAGATATTGCAAAGCAGAACGCGCTATCGAAATGGTGATGATGGAAGTATCTCATTTTTCCAAGTGATAATAGGAAGCCGATGTTTCTGCTTGTGTCGACGGTCAAAAATCTGCTACGTTGCTGTGGACGCCAAGATGTTCACTATTAATTGGAAGTGACTCGTGCATTTTATTGAAAAGTGGTAGACGTTATAACTTGTATGTCATAGGAATTCAAGACAAATGGAGACTGTTGCCTTCTTCTTGAGTCACTCGGTGAGTGGACGGGTAACATATAATAGAGGACGTTAATATCTATCACACGATCAGGCAAACCAAGCCCTTCGTCTCTCCGTGGTCAGCATATTGGCACTCGACTCGTTTAGGAGGATGAAAGCCTTTTTTGATTCACCGTGCGGTTTCCGGAAATCACTGTTTAAGCCGTTCAATCAGTTCTGCAATGCTTGGCGAAACCAAATGAGTGACGCATCCATCACATGCTAATTTCGGCTATTTTCGTCAACATGTGTGATGAATTATGGTAGATTCAGGCGGGTCGACATATTAGTGTAGACGACTATTCCAACTCTGTCAACTGTCGTGTTGTCTCAATGGAATGTTGTTCTTTCAATTCTAATACGATATTCTGTTGGCGTTTTCACGTCTTGGCTACTATGATGTTTGATTTGATATCTCTCATTTTGATATGTGCAGGTTATGTTGGAAATGCTAATCATGCTCATAGTTTCTCATGCTTCCGGTAGTCTGATTTAACTGTGAAGATTTTGTTTTCTCTGATAGACTTCTCCCATATGGTCTTACATGTAAACAACAGTACTTCTGTTAGAGTGGGACAGCCTTGGCCAAAAAGCTACAAATGTCAACAAATTAGCATGCGATAGCAAGTTGATGGTGAACCCACTATTTCAGATTGAAATAAGAGCAATGGGATTGATTAATCGACGTAAATATTGGTATGTCGTTGACGACTCTTCTCCATACTTTTATTGGTACAAAGATCATGATTCGCTGAAGTGTGTAGGACGTGTACCGCTGGCATGCATGGCTCTTACTTACGATCCTCGTGTGAAAGGACGGTTTCAAGTGTTGTAAGTGTGCTCATCTTGCAAATTCCTTCTGCGAATGATTCTTTACCGTAGTTTCATGTTTTCGCTACAGTCATTCTTCACTCACTTATTTACCTGTTTCAAATAGTTTTGCCATTTGTTTCTAGTGGATTATACTGATGTTTTGCATAAATTTATTGTTAAAGATCTGGCGATGATGTATTTTTGCTTGAATGTTCCTCGAATAGTGTTCGTGATGAGTGGATGCAAGTTCTTCAATCGGCTCGTCTAAATAGTGCGCAAGGATTTTCACAGGATAATGATGTTGTTCATGTGAGTTAACAAGAATCTTTTTGTGCGAAGTTATGTATGTAAGAGTTTATAAGTGTTAAAGATCTATCTCGATTTCCATCATTTATGAACAACCTTCTTCCCCATGGCTTGCCGCCTCATCTTGGTTGGGAGGTGTTCATGGGTGACGGCCTGCGATGTACAGCGGAACATTCGTCACCACAGCAGGGCCTCTCAAGCTGAGAGGGTGTCCGGCGCTTTCATGAGGAAGCCCAGCTAGGAGTAACACAGTGCCAGGATCCGCCACCTTCCTGGTATTAAACTAGTCGCATTGTGGCAAATTTCTCCCTAATCCACAAGGGTGGCTACTCCACTAGGTCATGACGACCTGGGGCACACTTTGGCTAGGCAGATCTTGGGAATCCAGAGAACCACGGTGACTAAACGAGCGGAATTCCGAATAAATAGGAATTGTTCTGGAGCCCTCACAACCAGTGAAGACCAGACATCAAAGTACCAAGTGTGAACAGTTTTGATTCGTTCCTATTTAAAGCATTTTACGAACTGATTCAGTTGATCTTGTTTATAAAGTTAGCTTACTTTAGGACATCATTTCGATGTCATCGGAAACTCCTCCGCTGACAAATGTTCCATCTCCTTCACATTCAGCTCAAAATCTAATACAAGACTTGTTAGGACCAACAAGTGACACCACATCAACTACAACAGATGATGGTCACGGCCAAGGTGACTCTGGTGTTAGTTGTATAGATAAGGTTTGTTTCTATAAATATGCTCGTTCGTTTCTATTTCCATCCTACGTGCAAAATGTGAAAATGATCTGGGATTTTTTCTTTCTTTTTTCTGTTTTCTGTTTTAGTCCTGTGCATTATAGCTTATTTAGCTGGGTTGTGAAGATCATTCACCTTTTGTTACACCAAGTTCAACGTTTTACCTTACCACAAATGGTGAACTGAACGAACACAGCATGTCTATGCCGAAGGTATGATTTGTAATCTTTCTTCATTTCGCATTAGAAAAAGAGAAACTCACGTTTTGAAAGTCTTTTTAAATATTTACTATGTAGGTACATAGGGGTCTATCCTTTGCTATTATCCAGTTTCATATTTTAGGCCATAATTTCACCGGAGGCTGTTGTTGAGCGTATCCTGGAGAAGACAAATGAGCATCTGGAGGCTCCAAAACGAGCTTTTGAACTAGCAAAGCGAAGTTTTCGAATGAGGAAAGAATGTGAAGTTTGTAAACAGGTGCATTAAAACACTTATATTATTATTGACATGTTCTGTCTGCGTTTTTCTGAGAAGATATGTGGTACAAGGCTGCGCTTAACAGACGAGGCTTACCATAGGGGTATAAAAGAGTACTAATTTATAAAGAAAAGCAAAAACATTGATTTTTCTAATTTGAGTGCTCCTCTACTACAAAAAGCGATGACAATAAAAGAAACCGTGCCTGACCCACGGTGTTTCGTTGGCCCTCAAATTTCTCTTGAAGTTGCAGAGGCCTCAAAAGCTAATATTCGAGCAGGACATCCTCCGTTGATGTCGAAAAACTGTAACGCCGGATGAAGGAGCATGCAGGTGTGAGCAGCAATCGAAAAGGTGAAGATACTTGACAATTACCGTTCGTAATCGAGGAACTGAAACCGAAGTCCCAGAACCACCGTAAACTGGGACTTATTCAATTCGTTAGTCGGTTGTTGGGAAGATGCCGTTGTCGATAACATCGACGAAGATTACGATCGGCTCATTCAACATCTTCACGTTAGCGCTATGAAAGCTGAGAGTTCGAACACAACAAAGAGACGTGTTCACCAGAAACACCCGAGCTGATACGTCAGTGTCGAATCCCATGAACTGCAGACAACCGCGAGCTAACGTCCAAACTTGCAAAACTATGCAGACAGGCGATATAAGAAGATCTTAAAGAGAGAAGATCACCAGTAATGGTCGAAGCTGCAGAGGTTGGGAAAAGCATTTGCAAAGCCCACCGAAGCTTCACCAATTACAAGACCAAAATGATTGCACTCCGACGTTCAGACGGAACAGTTACAACGTCCAAAAAGGTAACGGAGAAAACCATTCACGAATACTACTCGGATATCTTAGATATCCACGTCCACCTTCCGTCATATGAAATAAAAGTGGGCGGATATGTTGTACCACCTGTTCTCCCTTCTGAAATCGGACGTTCATTTCGTCGGTGAAGAATCGAACAGCACTACGTATGGACAGGATAAGACCAGAACACCTGAAAATTCTACTGCCATTCCTCGTAAACTAGGTTCTTTACACGTCACCTGTCTGAATGCAAGGTCATTACTCGGGGGAAGACCAGAAAGACGGCGTTATTGTTCAAGAAGGGTGACCTATGCGAAATCGGCAACTATCGCCCGACCTGCTTGCTTTCTGTCGTCTACAAAGTTTTCACTCGAGTCGTCCTAAACAGGATTAACAGAACACGACGAAGGGGAGCCATGTGAGCAAGCAGGGTTTCGAAAATGATTTAGTGCGATGGACCACATCCACACGGTAACACGGCTCATTGAAGTATCGCGAGAGTACAAAAGACCGCTCTGTCTCACTTTCGTCGATTTACAGAAGGCCTTTGATTCAATTGAGATAGAAGCAGTCATTGAAGCCCTTGATAGTCAAAGAGTCCCTACTCAGTACGTAAAGATTGTTCGTGAGCTGAACAAAAATTTCACAACCAAGATATCACTATTCTACAACGATATTAACATTGACGTCAAAAGAGGAGTTAGGCAAGGTGATACCATCTCGCCAAAATTATTTACCGCCGTCCTCCAGAACGTCATGCGAACACTGGAATGGGATAATATGTGGTGAAAATCGATGGTTGGCAGTTACACCATCTTCGCCTTGCTGATGACATCGTCCTTATAACTATAACACCAAACATTAGTCAAGCGGAACGTATCCTTGCCGACTTTAATAAAGCCTGTGGAAAAATTGGTCTTCATGAAAGAACGGATTGGTTTCTTATGCTACATTCACGCTCAACGGAACGAATATCTCCGAATGCTCCAGTTATGTCTATCTTGGTTGAGAAATCAACAAGTTGAACGAGTTAGCTCCATAGTTGAGTAGAAGGAAACGAGCGGCTTGTGGAGCTTTCAAGAGCATCGTGGATGTAGTGAAGTGAGCAAGGAACACCCGACTCCTTTTCGACTCAACAGTACTTCCTGCCCTAATGTATGCATCATTAACTTGGTCGATGCGTAAGCAGAATGAAAGATCATTGAGCGTTATCGAATGCGCAGTCGAAAGGACGAAGTTGGGAGTATCCCGTTCCACATAAGTAAGTGATGGGATCCGAAGCTTCGAACTGCGTCAGCGATTAAAAATCAAAGATGCCGTTCTGTTGGCCAAAGAATCGATGATTAGGTGGGTCGGACACGTAATGCGTATGAATGGCAACCGATAGACAAGAGCCGCTAGTGATTGGATTCCTCGGAGCGTCTAACGTACTGCAGGTAGTCTGCAGACCCGATGGTCAGAGTTCTTCACAAAGAGCTTAGAAGAAAGATATGATACTCGACCAGTCTGTAGAGCGAGGAGAATTCACTGGGCTGCTCTTGTACGCGATAGGGAAAAATGGAAGGTTTACTGGTGCCCGCTCGAGTCACTCGTTGGTCAGCGCGACTACGGGTGATACAGGTGAATCGAGAAGCACCACAGGTGCAGGTACTGCAGAATGATAGAGTGAAGCTGGTTTACCGGGCTAGACGCTCCATCTCGCCAAATTTAGCAGAGTGAATTTCGTAGCATCTTAATACTGTCCTTGATAAATGGCTATCGGCTTAGGAGAGGCTGAACTTATGAATAGGTAGATTCTTATGATATAGCTTATCCAGAGGAAAACGTTATCAATGGGCATCAGTCAACAATTGTGCTATGTGGAAACGCACGGCCAAATGAGATACTTCATTCGAGCGCTGGTCTATTTATTCCACTGGATTCGACTCGATACGACTACGAATGCCCATGTCGCAAAATTGAGCGACTGTGGACGATCGACTCGGATTATTCCGATTCTGCAGAGAGCAAAGGCGCCGTATGTTTATATAATAAAGTTTTTTAACTGATCAGCAACATTTTGATTTATTATTTCGCTGCGGATGTTAAATAGAAGGAAATAGCCTGATCGAACTCGAGTTTATATTCTTAATGACAGCAATAGTCAAGAATTATAGACGATTGATTACGAAACGGTACAAGTTGCAACTGGCTGCCTTGACATTGAGCCCTTGTGATCGATTTTACTTTACTCGGTTTACGCTTCTTCAGGAACCTGGAAAATTGATTTTGAAGGAAGAACTCCGAGAGGCGTTTTGAAAATTGATAGAATCCAAGGTGCTGTGTCAGTGTCTTGCCAATCAGTCCTTTTGCCACTGTGAAATCTGCAGTGAATGTAGGTTAACCAACGACGAACTCGGCGTGTTTAGTGTGGCTCTTAGAATGGAACACGAGTAATTTTTGTAGGCTGCGGACTTTTTGGTTTTTCGAAAGTAAGAAGTAATTTTCGAGTAAATAGAGGGCCCTGAGGGTTTTAAGCATGACAGAGTTGCAGAAGAAATTTTACCCTATCGTTCTATAAGTATGAATGATATATATGCTACAGTTTCCTCTGTGTTACTATGGTCCATCATGCAAATACATTGCTGTCAGCAATGGGAAGTATTTTCCAGACTTTATTGAGTTTATTTCTGTTTTTTTTATATCCGCACATTCTGTATAGTGACCATAGTGGTTAAGGTGAAATAATAGTTAATTGTTAGTCCAGTGACCGACCAATAAACTTTTCCGAAAAAAGGTTTTTTTTTTTGTAAATCGTCAAGTGTAAGGAGCGGTTTTTTGGTACCACCTCTGCTGTTTCGATCTGCTCTCCGTTAGTAGTAAGATGAATAGCGAGGGTTAAAAAATCACTGGACCCTAAAGCACCAGACCGAAAGTAAACGCTATAGTGTCCATAGCGGGCTTTATGGGATAATATAGCCTGTAGGCGTGGAATATACTGTGATTAGAGATCTCGTTTAATAAAACGCACAAGATCACAAGTTCGATTCCGCATCGGTCAACCACTCTTCTATCCTCTGGGATCGACAAATTGGTACCAGACTAGTCTAGGGAAAGCATACTTCGATTCACGAAGTCCTGGAGCTATCTGTGGTGAGGATCTGAGGATGCCATGGAACAGCTCAGGCTTTCCAGAGGAAACTATTGAAACAGCATTCAGCGGCATTCTTCATGAAGAATGAGCAAATCCTTCAGAAGGAGATGATCCCACAGTTTGAAGACCACCGTAGATCCTTTGTGGATGTGGCAAAACGAGTAAAAAAGAACAGAAAAAATGAAGTTTACAGCAAAGGATGTCCATGCTATTTTCGCGTAATGTAAATAAAATAAATAAGCTTCGTTGTTGGACATGTTTGACTTTTTCAACTGCAGTAGTTGTAATAATTACTAATCACCTGTTGCTTACAACTGCTTTTCAGCCATAAGCTTTCATCTTGAAGGAAAATTTAGCAACTGATTTCTAACAAAATTATTTCGTTTTTCATCATAGATGTGGCTTTCTATGCATCTTTTAATACAAGATGGAAACTAAACTTCACCATAATGTTGCCTTTACCGTGTAACACTTAAGCGGAAGCAACAGTAATTTATGCTTATTAGTAAACAGTTTCAGCAGTGATTTGAATCTTTTAAATCTTAAGCTGTTTGATCTGGTCTAGTTATTGTACCACTAGTTTGCTTCCGTATGATATATGGGAAATCTCAAATGCTGCAATCCTGAGTCAGGGAAATAATCAGGTCATAGGGATATTGTAGGCTCCATGTCCATCTTACTCACAGAAACCAATTTTGATTTAGAGCCAATTTTGATTTTGATTTAGATTTTCAGTGGAAATTTTACATTTGCTGTGATACTATTGACAAGTACTTGACTGTACCTTCGTTTCATTCCATTCATTCTGATGGCATTTGATGTAAACAAACATCTGGGTTGATTTCTTACTTTTCAAAGTTATAATTATCGTGTATAGTTGCATGAAGTGGGAGAATTATAATCGATTAGCAAACATTAAATATAATACCGCGCTGAGTTTGTTATAACTTTCTGAGAGCTCGAGAACGTTTACTTACCAATTTCACCAAGTTGTTGTCTCACTGTGGATGTTATGAATTATCTTCATATCCTGTTTTTAATTTCACCATTCAGAGCAGTCTATCGATGATGGCGCACTTTGTAGAACTTGAGGACATGAATGCTGCTTTGAGGGAAGCCGTGGATAAGTTGCAACGAGGATTATTGATCACTAGAAACCATAATGAAATACTGTAAGTTTTGAATGTGTAATCAAATAAGTTAATGTATAAAAAAACGTAACCTGCGTCACCCACTAGTTCGACGGGGTGTACATATTCGTATCAGAATTGTTTGAGACAAACCCACTTCCTTTAATCCAGATAGTAACGCGCTAGTTCGGCTGTCTAGGGATTCCACGGAGGCCCAACTCGACCAAAATTCAACGTTTGTGACGATGACGACAAAATCCTCAAATAACAGCCAGATTCACACGTAAAAGGAAATTGATGACCTTCGCAGACTGTGGATGTGAGGGAAAGAATCGAGGGCAAAAAGCGCTAGAGTTCGTAAAGATACTAATCACAACCTTATTTTGGCACATTTTGAAGGATTAACTTTGCTAAAAACCACAAAATAGTCGTCACAACCTTGTCTTTGCCGAGTTTTGGCTTTTGGAAGTTTATGAACTTCACCTCGGTCCCATTATTTCACTAAACATCATCAATTATCGCGAATCGTTCACCCTTCAGTCGTGTCGCAGTGAGGTCGAAAAATGGTTCATTTTTCTTTCATAAAGGAATTGCAGCGAACGGTTCATGTTTTTTGCTTTCTTCTTATCTCCCGAATGAGAAACGATTGTAGTTAGTGTTATTGCTAAAGGTTAACGGTGTTTTTCTGGAAGTAGTTTTCAGAGTCCTCTCAACGGTTTACCGCCTCATCATGGGGGAAAGGTGTTCCTGGGTGTGGGATGTGCAGCAGGTGGATTCATCCACCCCAGCAAGGTCTCTCAAGCTGAAAAGGAGTCTGGTGTTTCCATCAAGAAGCTTAGCTAAGAGTAAGCAAATACCAGGATCCACTACCTTCCTGTTATCAAGCTGGTCGCATGGTGGAAAACCTCCCTATGATCCACAAAGACGGCGGCCGGCTGTGGTGGTGGTGGTCTTCTAGGACAGACATTGGTCTGGCTGATCTGGAGACTCCAAGGAATCGCAATGGCTAAATCTGCAAATTTTCGAAAATTGGAAATTGTGCTTGGTAAGCACAACCAGTGAAGACGTTGCCATCCAAGTATCTGAGTTATTAGAGTCACTTTGATGTTTGTCATCCAAAATTATGTCTACGATCAGCAAGCAATAAATATTTGTTGTACGAGGAAAATTTTCGAAAGATTTGCACATTGTGCGTTTGGAAAACTCGCCAGGGATGTGGTTTAATGACGTTTCGAGTTGTCTCCGTAGCTGCATTTCTAAGACGAGACTCATGAAAAAAATTCGCTGTAAATTAAATATTGTGGGAATTGTAAGACAGCGAATAATAAGCCAAAGGAAAAGTTCTAGAAATTGTGTGCAACAGCAATCAAGCAATAAATATTTGTTTCAAACTGTTTGTGAAATTTTCAACGACAGAAAAGGTCAATTTTCGCACCTGTGTGACTAGACGCCGACATTCATTGCAAATTGTTTGAAAGTACTATGAAATTAGCTGGAATAGAACTCAACGGAAGTCCATGTGTTAAGGGAACGGATACAGTCGTTGGGATGTGACGATGATATTCGTGCATTGCTTCTTGAAAAAGAAACTGAGATCACTGAGTTACAACTGTCCAGTAATCAAAGATGTCGACAAGTAAGGGAACTACAAGCGGAGATAAGGTGAGTAACTAAGATAAGCCGTATTGAAAAATATAAAGTATCCATTAGACGATAGAAGGATTGGATACTTGTTACTATTATTCTGACACATCGACGTAGCAACGTCAATATTCTTGAATATATCTAGAACAAATCAAACTCCACTGATATTGTATGCCAAGTATATTAGTTCTCTCCGATAAGAAGTACATTGGCGCATCTACTGTCGTCATATTCGTCTAGGGGCTTTTACACACTGAAAAGAAACCTCGGAAAAGGTGACAATTTTTTGCCAGGAGAAGGAGAAATTTCTTAAAGGGTCTAAAGAAAAAGAAGAAGCAAAAAATGAGAAGTTCAGGGAGAAATTTAAATTGAAAATTCTAAAGAAAATAAAAGGGATATTATTTCTAGACGTATTTTCTCACTCAGAATTATGATTTAGATGTCCATTTTTTCATCATAAAAGCTAAAATGCTTTGTACATGAAAAGGTTTAGCAGGTCGTTTGATCGTAGCCTGCTGATGGGAAAACATTAACAATGGTTTCTATGTTTCTGCGAAAACGAATTCCCACAATCGACTTCCTAATAAAAATGGCATTAATCAAATAACTTTATATTCTTGTTGAACCAACACGAGATGTTATTTTATTCACAAACAAGCTGATGTTTCGGCGGATTTCGTCTTCCTCAGAGCCTGGAGAGGTCAAATTTTTATGTGTTATTAATATATTCAAAAACGAAATATGCCTATCACTAACCTCCCGGAAAAGGTAATAGTGGGTTCGATCCCCAATGCAGACAGCAGTGTTCCGGAGTTTTGCAAATATCTCTGCATCATTGTGATTATATTTCACATCATACCTTACCATGGAAAGAGAATAGGCGGTAAATAAAGAGTGGCTACATTGTAAAATGTACCTGCGTTTTAGTTAAGTAATGTGTAATGTTGCCGTCTTAGCAGTGGTGCATATGTTGTGCAGCTTGCATCGTTAGTCAGGAAAGGGTGTGCAAGTGGCGAGGTTTACAGTGTTTCTTTATCCATTTCCGTTTCTAAAGGTAAATGACTCATGGCACTATCGGTCTGTTGTTAACGTGATTGCCGTACCACTAATTGCAATTGAGGGGTTCGTTAGTACGTTTTGGGGAACTTGTGGAAGTTTATTCTGGTTTGTTTTTTTTCTTGCCTTTACTGCTACATCTTATTCAGATTTTTCTGTTCATTTGATCTCATTTGACTTTGCATCCTGTCAACTGGTGTAATTCCTGACTTCATCACCTGTACAACTGACAATTAATAGGCCACTAAGTATTTTTGGATCCTTAAGTTCTAACTTCAGATATGCATCTTAGCTCATTCTGCGCTTTATTAGTGGCAGTAAGATTGGATACTTTTACTTTTATTATGGCTACCACTGTGGCTGATTGATGTGGTCGCATCTTGTCGATGATCGTCCAGTATAACGTTTGAATTGTATTGGTTTCTACTTTGTTGTAATTCTCTTAAATCTGTTATAAACTTTTTTCATTACAAAGATAGCTCATCTGTTTAGTTCACACGGTTTGAATAATCTCCTAGATAATGAAGTCGGGAAATTTTTCATATCTGTCGACTGCGTAATCTGGCTTTTGTGGGTGCTGTTTCTAGTTTAGAAGAATTCTCCATGTGACTGAAATGATAACTTACTATTCGCTTCATAATGAGGGTTGACAGAGCGGTCTTATTGACTTTCGAGACTGTTTGTCAGTGTGTAAGGAAAGAGGTATGCGCGGAGTTTAGAGACTTTTTGTTGGTCGGTAGCTTTTGTGAGGCCTTTCCGGGGTCTACGTGCTTTTCTTCGGCGAAATTTCGTCGTTCTCATGTATTTTAACAGCTTAGATGTTCATAATAGATGAAACACGATTTCTATATTTGGAAAACCATCCAGTTTGAGTTATATTGCCAATATCGATCTTTTATGAAATTGGTTTTCTTGCAATTTGTTCGGATTCCTGCAATTTTTCCCCTCCCTGGACTCTTTTTCAGTGTTTCTTGTCTACTGACTTTTTTTTTCGAAAGAAAAGAAGCCCTCGTCTACAAAAAAAGGTTTGACATTTCCACTAATATCCTAATCATATTCCTTTCGTTTCAATCGTGCGACCTAATTAACTCCTATAGTGCTACACTAATCAACTCTGGAGGCTGGTCTTGTTATCTTTGACTCCTTTTTTCATAAATCTTATTAGGCGTCGATAAAAGAACTCTGATTTTGTTAGTTAAAAACAATTGAATATCAGTTTCTTCTGCGTTTTCACTAGAGGTGAACATTTGTTAGAAGTATGTATATATTTTAGCTACATCATTCTTTGGACTTCACTATTCTACAAGCGGCTCTTTAGGATTCCCACTAGCTCTGCATCTTCTTTCGAGATTATTCTTTCGTTTCGATTGAGATAAATTCTGAGAACGGACTTTGCAGTCCGTAAGCATTTTGGCGTACATTTCCGAATGAAATACGCGGCAATGTAAGACATGAAGATGATCATATTATGTTGGAGAAGTTTATGAAAATTTACTGCTTATTGTCCCTTTCCTATGGATAGAAAGAAAAAATGTTCCCTTTATGACACCGAAATCAGTGTTAGCTTTAAATGTTTGAGAGAGCTTCCTTGCGGTCCAGCCGTTGAGCCTATTGTCGCCGGTTATCATGGAAGATATATTTTTGTCTCACCTCACACTTCGGTCGAGAAACGAATTCTAATTGCGTATAGATGTTGGCCGTACTTCAAAACCGCAATTTGTTTGTTTCAGTTATCTATAGATTTATCCAAAGTTTTTTTTACTTTATTTTATTTGATCCGTCTCTATGTTTATTGTGCGGATTCCAGCACAGCACTTCCCACATCCAATTCGTTTCCTCGCATCTATTGTCCACGAAGATCTTCCAAGTTTTTACGTTTGGTTTCGGTTACTGCTTAAGAATTTTCATTTGATCTTGAATGTCGTAGAATGATGGTCGAGCAATTCTCTCTTGAGTCCTGAGATAGCCGGGCTGGAGCGTTCCCGATTGGATTGCATAGAGTGATTTTTTCCCAAGTCTGGTACCAATTTTCCGACCCCGGAGGCATGAGAGGCTTGGTTGGCCTGGAGCGGAATCAAACAAGCACCATGATCGTGTTGACGGACATCACAACCGTTGTCCTTCCCGTCTCTTATCCAAACAGTTAAAATGCTCAAAATGAGTTCTGCAAGAATTTCAAAGAATTGTGAGTGTATTTTCTTCCAACAAGCCCTTCAATATATCGCCGTTAATTGTGGAAGCACATTCGCGACGTCCATGAAATTTCAGATCGAATTCGTTGCGATGAATTTTTTCCAACCCACTTTGCAGTCTGCTTTCCTTAGCAGTTTCTTGGCCCCATACGTCACTAATCTATCGGGCCGTTTCGTTGCGTATGTATTTTGAAGGTCGAGTTCGCACAAGAAATTTCAGCCGTTAAATTTTGTCAAAAACAGTTGTGTCGTAATCCAATTGTACAGAATGAAAAAGCATAAAATGAGCTTTGCAGTGATCTATATCAGCACAGCATTTGAGAGAGAAACTTATTACAACACACAAGGAAAATGAAATTACAAATCAGACATTAATTTCTGTGTAAACTAATAGATGAACTGTTTGGATACATTACGTTTGTTAATAATTGTCTTTTAGCAACCAGGATGCTCAAATTATTGAACTGAATGATTCGTTGGAAATTCTTCGCGATAATTTGCGGAAAAAGGAAGAGATGTTAATGCAGATATGTGAGGAAGACGGTAATACCGACATGGTTAAAGAGCGCTTAATCGCTGGTATGCTGTATTATTTTGGTGTTGTCCGTTTTTTTTTATCTTTTTTCACACTTTACAGTTCTATATTTTTCGAACCCGTGAGCGGTGATATCACATATATCCCTGTTTATCGAGTTTTTACGCTATATAACCTACCTTCCCGGTGATCATCAGTTGATTCCAGCAATCTCATTAGTGAAGTATCCATTTGTTGGTGCTTGTCGAAGTTGTCGAGTAGTGACTGATTTGTGGATAAATTCGAAGAGCACCATTTTTTCTCCTAGCATTTCTCGTAAATTCGTGAAGAAATTTAACAGTCGATGGCCTGTTTATTGCGCCGTTGACTTTTCATATGCCTTCGATCGCGGCCACTTAAAGATGGCGCTCGTCTGTCGGTTGTTATGCATGGCATGCGTTTTCCTGCCTCATTTTATGTTCAGTATAAAAAGTTGAAAGAAATAGAAAGTTGTTGAGTGAGCCGACACTATTCGTCGTCGATGTTATCAAAAGCGGCATATTCCCAACAACCGACTAATGGACGGAATAAATCATAGTTTATGGCGATTTCTGGTCTTCGTTTTTTTTTGAATTTCGTCGTTTGTTGTCCTTTCGGCAAGAAATGAAATTTTGCATGAGGGAGGCCGTGGTCTGATCTTGTGTTGAATTTTGGGACAACATCGGAATGAGCTAGGTAAAACCTTCGACACGTATTTTCTCAAAAGGTTGATTTTCTGTAAACCTTGGCATAAATCGATATATCTGTATATATGTTGTTACGAACTGCCCTCTTTTAGTTGACGCGAGGTTGGTACAGAAGTTCCTATTGTTATTGCTGTCTTTGTTCAATGGCTCTGAGGAAGGCGAAATCGCCGAAACGTTAGCCATTAAACAAAGGCAGCAGCGACAATAAGAACATCTCATAAAAGCATATGTACAGATACGTAATGTCTTACAGTATGGTGCTCATCATTGGGAAACTCCCACGTCCAGCGCTGAGAGTGGTGCTTCTAGAATTGCTAGTGATCTTGGTTGCCATTGGCATATTCTAATCCGTAGATCCCAATGTGACGTTCCTCCAACGTTCTTCCTGGTCCAATCTTGGCGTTGAAATCTCCAATGATGACCTTGAAGAATGCATGACTTTCTCTGTAGAACTTCTTCAAGTTTATATTAGAACGCTTCCATTTCATTTTCGTTTTTGCTTGATGTCGGTGCGTAAACGACGAAGATTATCAAAGCCGGAATTGATCCACGTATTCTTAATAGTAAACGTCCGATTCGGGCTGTTAGGTGTTCGAATGAATCAATGTTGATGGAAAAACTCATGTTGACGAAAACGCCGACGTCGCCGACTCCTTTTTTGTCGCATGTTCTGTAGAACAGTTCTTCTCTAATGTTATAGACGGCGTTGAATGGTTGGCGTTTCGTCTCAGCTTGTCGATGATGTTGTGCTTCTTCCTTACATGATCAATTATTTCATGGAGGACTCAGATGCAGGCGTGCGTGCGTTGTAGGTACAGATTGTCACCTCAGCCCTTTGCGATATAGGCAGCCTAGAATGACCCTGAGATTTTGGTAGCTTCTCAATGCTAGCGTACCTAAAGCTGACCCACCTGGAGCAACTGTCGTGGTATGCAAAATGTGGTCCACTTATTCTCCGAGCGTGAGCTTGGGTAGATTGGGTAGACTCACAGGTAGCTCGCTCTCATTCATTGTACCTGGAGATGTTTAGATTTGTGTGCAGGGTAGACTGCTGCTTGATAATTTGATATTTATGAATGTTATCTTTTAATAGTTTCTAGGATTCCTCTTAACCTCGGCATTGGAATATGAATGTGTTGTTTTCTTGTTCAGCAATCGCGAGGTTTTTAAACAGCATACATTTACTTCCATAGAAAAACGCAATATAATAGAACACTAGCTGACGTTTCGGCAGTATCGCCTTCTTCAGAGCCTGGAAGGGTATACTGATATACAATCTACTAGGCCAAACGCTTCAATAACACAAAAAGACGAAAACTATGATAATTACATGTTCAACAGCTTCTCGAAACACACCGCTTTTTTCGTGACTTAAGTCATTGCTTAATGAGGTCGAATCATTCATAAGGTTAAAATGACAAAGCTCTCGGCGTTGATTAATCCCTGAGGGATGCGCCATGTATTCGGCTTCATTAAGCATCGTTTGGAGGTGATTGAATGCATATCTGGCCTTTACAATGACTCGCGGTGTCCTGGTGATGTATCGGGCCAGTGCTGCTATCCTCCCAGAAAAGTCCGGTACCAATTTGCCGACCCCTAATGGGATAAATGGCTTGGTGGACCGTGGGCGCTGGTATGGACTCCTCGTGTGTGTTGCAGGGCGCCTCCGACCACTGCGACCATATAGAGGAAAAATATGGGGAAAAAATATTGGAAGAGTATGTATTACACTGTTATTGGAACTGCACCACGGAAACACATCATTTCCATCCACCTCTTACCATTCTCACAGGGAGAGGGGTTCGACAAAGCGACATCACATCGTCAAATCTGTTTGCTGCGGCATCGCCAGAGAATGAAGTCGCTTGATTGGAACGAGAAAGGCATACGCATTGATGAAATATTCCTAAAAATTCCTTGTTTCGCGGATGACATCGTCATATCTTCGAAGAGTACTGATGAAGCAGAGGCGATGCCCGATGAACTCAAAGAATCGAGAAAAGGATTGAACTAGGAACAAATAGGACGAAGACCTAGTTTATAAAAAAACCCATGGTGTGAAGGTAAACAAATCGAACTCGATGGTTTTTTGACTATAGACTTTGATTTTTCCTCACACGTGTGCATCGACGTTGATTGAACATGGAGAACAACGATATCGGCAGCGAATAAAAGTTAACATTGTGATTTTAGCTGCAGCCTCAGCTTAACTGGATCCAATGCCGGCTTGGGATCCCCAGGTCAATCGTGTTGACGGGTGATTGCTGATGGCACTGATAGATAGAAAACTAGCTGAGACAGGTGAAACGAAAGACCCCCATTGTGTGGTGGTGAACGCGTTAACCCCTGGAGAGGGTAATAGCGTGTTCGTTCCCGACCATATCTTTTTTTTTATTTAAACCTATCAAGTAGCGGTTACCTGACAAAGTGGTGCCGAAAGCCAAGTAACAAGAACATTCTTGTTCATTTCCTTTTTTCCCGCCCTTCACACACGAAGAGGGCGATTGTGAGAAACATGTTTCGAACACCCACCTCTGTGTGCACTACCAGAGAAATAAAGGAAGGATCGCGCGACTTGGCTCGGCAAATAGCCATCTCCAGTGGCTACGAAATAGTAATCCCACGAGATAAGTTTAGAAGGAGAGCGACGCGCCGACGCGAAACACTTGGCCTAAAGAAAGTCCCGTTTATGTTGCCTTTTATAAGCGATGAAGTAAGCGTAGCTATAAAACGATGCTTAAGAAGGGCAAGCTTAGAGGAATCGGTAGCGATAGTTGAAATACCACCGGCTACTCTACGTCGTCAATTAGTTCGTAACCGCCTGTATGACCGTCTGTGTGAAACAACAAATTACGTAATTTGCCCTTACGGCAGGGACGGTGTTTGCATGAGTTCAGGTACGATATACCTGATCTCTTGTAATAATTGCGGAGATGAATATATTGGCGAAACAGGCAGACCTTTGTGTATCCGTATAAAAGAACACCTAGATGGCAAACGAAAACTAAGACAAAGCACCCCACTAGGCACGCATAGGATACAAAAGCATAGCGGAGACGATTTTGAAGTAAAAGTCAATATCCTTGCACAGGAGACTAAAACACCAGCGCGAAAACTTTTTGAGGCTTTCTGGATAAATACCAAAAACCCTACAATGAATAGGAGGTACGAATGCCCAGAGGGCAAACGCGACCTAACCCCGTATCTTCGCATCGATTTTTGATGTCGGATGGTGCAGTCATCAGCCATATGCGTCTATAATCAGCTGTTCTAAACTTCCTCATTGGAAGTCACGTAAAAAGCGGCTCTGAAGAAGGCGTTACTGCCGAAACGTCAGCTAGCGTTGTATTGTATTGTGTTTTTATGGAAGTAATGTATGCTGTTTAAAAACCTCGTGATTGCTGAACAAGAAAACGACACATTCATATTCCAATGCCGAGGTTAATAGAAAGTCGATCCCGGGAACTAATAATAATAATAATAGTAGTAATAATAGCAGTAATAATAATAATAATAATATATCTATCTTTCTATCTATCTAATAATATAATATCTTTCTTCTTCTATTCAGCAAGCACGAGGTGCTATTTTATTTCTTTATTTACGCACAAGCTGACGTTTCGGCGGATTTCGTCTTCCTCAGAGCCTGTAAGGGTCAACTTGACAGCAATCCATTCGGCCAAACACCTCCATAACCAAACAGAGAAAGCGCTAAACCAAGATTTCAATCACATTTAGCATAGCTCTGCACACTCACCGCTTTCTATGAGTCTTCCACTGAGTATGTCGCGTGAAGACCGACCGCACCAAATTCACATGGAAGCGTAATGTGCCCCTCCCATCAGAATAACAGGTTTATATACTGTCCAATATCGCGCGTGATAACGAGGCATTCCTCCGTGCGGTTCATTTTCGGATTCTTGGAATTAAGCCAGAATGCCTCTAGAGTTTTACGCGCGTGTGTTCTCGGTTTTTGCGCGAGGATCGTAACCCTTACTTCAAAATCTTCTCCGTTATGTTTCTGCGTGCTATGCGTACCTAGTGGAGTACTTGGCTTACGTTTGCCGACTAGGTCTTCTTTTATACGTACGCAGAGTGGTCTACCCGTTTCGCCAACATATTCGTCCCCGCACGCTTTACAAGAGATCGGATAGACTGTACCCGAACTCATGCAGTCACCATCTCTACCATTGGGATAAATTATGCAATTTTGCGTTGCACATAGACGGTCCTATAGGCGGTTACGAACTAGCTGGCGCCTTAGATTGCTCGGTGGTATTTCGATTATCGTTACCGAATTCTCTAGACTGGCCCTTCTTAAACAGCGTTTTATAGCTGCATTTGAAATGAAGGGCAGTATAAACGGGACCTTGTTGTCGCTAGAGTTATCGTTGGGGTACCTGTGGTTTCCTCTACACCTATCTCGAGCTACGGTTTCGTAGCCATTAAAAATGTCTATTTGCCGCGCCAAGTTCCGGGACTCCTCTCTCTGTTGTCTTCCTGTGCACGCGCTGGTAGCTGTTCGATACATGTTTCTCACAAGCGCCCTTTTCGTGTAAGAGGGATGAGAGGAGAGGTAAACTAGGATGTTTATACTACTTGGCTTTCGATACCACTTCGTAATGTAGCCGTTTTGTGATAGGCTAATTTGCACGTTCAGAAATGGAAGCCAGTCTACTTTTGGTTTCTCTCGGGTGAATTTAATATACTCTGACTGTGTGTTCAACAACTCGAAGCATCTGTCGATTTCTTCTTGCGTTGAACAAATGACCAAGCATTCATCTATATATCTACAGTAGAGTAACGGACCGAGGTCGATTACTGGCGCTTCCATCTTAGACATAAATGCAATGGCAAGGCTTGGTGCCACTCGTTGTCCCATTGCTAGCCCTCTCATTTGTGCGTAATACCTCCCGGACCATCTGAAGATTGAGCAGTTTAGGCACTCCTTTAAGAATGTCATCAACTGCTGAATCGAGAAGCCTTACATGTTCATTGCTCCTTCGTGTTGTATAAGGAGCTCGTTTATGGCTTGCATAGCGGAGTCATTCGACACGTTCGTATAGAGGGCAGTGACGTCGAAGGACTCCACCACGTACGCGCTGTTGGGTCGCGCGTTACGTAGACGATCCAGGAACATTTGGGTGTTCGTTAGATGAGCTGGAATGTACTTCAACAATTGAGTAAGTATTAGGGTTATTAACCACGTTATCCTATCCGTTGACCCGTTTACGCAGCTAATGATAGGTCTAACCTTAAATAACAATGGATCGGTAGACACGAGATCACTGCTGGATACTAACTTATAGGTTTTGAAAAGTAAGTACAGGACGGGACATGTTGGTAAGTCAATTTTGAGATGAGAGATAACTGATGGTTTTAACCCTGCCGCTCTTGCCACTTTAACCTATTCGTTGTTTAACTTTCGGTATTGACTTCTATATAGATAGAATTCCTTCTCAGACGATGGACGATAAAGGGAAGCATCTTTAAGGTGCTTTTCCGTTATCTCAACATCTAACTGATGGGGAATTACAACGAACTCTCCACCCTTATCACTAACCGATAGTCTTATGTCTTTTGATCTTATCAGCTCTCGTACCTCCCGCATACCACGTTTTTGTATTTCTGTGAGGTTGGAGCAGTATCTTTTAGCGCGATAGTGATTAAGGACTTCGAGAGTTTCATTCGTAAACATCCGAAATTTAACATCGACTTCATTAATGGGCTCTTGTTGTCTAAAGAACGGTTGAGGAAATGGTGGTACTGGTATTGCCCCTACTCTTTGTTGTTCGCACCTATTTTGCGCTTCGTCCCTAGCTTTTTTGCGGAGTCTATCTTGAAGTTCATGTAAACTACATGCGACCCTACGCAAGGTTACCTTAGAAATGGGTTCAGATGGTGAGAAACTCGGTCCCAATTCTAATAACGAGCGCGCACCGTCAGGGAGGGTTATGCCTCCTAGCACGCTCAACCTTGAATTTCTTTGCACATTATTTATCCTACTGTGAATCGTTTGATCGTCTTTGGCGGTGATTCTGTATGCTCTTGAAGCCGTGTTATGCGATTTACTCAAAAGGTCTTCGAATTTTCTCCGCAAAGCTACTTTAGCATTGGACCTAACAGAGTTGCAAATCAACACTGACCCTCCCACTATTCTCCTCCAGAGGCGGTCCTCCAAATACTGAGCACAATAGTTTTCTTTCTTCTCGCACTTCTTCCACTTAGCGAACATCTGGTTTTGTTTGCTTCGTAGACAGGTGCGCAGTACTTGCAATTCGGTGTCCGGTACTCGGTGGTCATCCTCTGGCAGTCCGCATACTTCGTGTAGTCGTTTTCTTTTTATGAATTTCGGGGCGACTTGGTGTTTTATGCAGCGGCGGAGAAAGTGTATCGCCTGTCGAGCTAAGACGATCTTTTGTCTTAGTGACAGTGCTTCTTTTGCAAGTCGGAAATATCTTGCTGGTACATCTTGTAGTAACTCCCAAGTCCGACTTAATAATAATAATGATAATGATGATAATGATAATAATAATGATAATGATCAATAATAATAATAATAATAATAATAATAATAATAATAATAATAATAATAATAATAATAATAATAATAATAATAATAATAATGATCACAATGATGTTGAGGTATTTCCAAAGCTTCGGTCCGCAGATTCCTGCGGTGGGGATTGAACCCTTCCTGGTATTAATGTGTAATCCACTGCATCGTTTCGGGTTTTTCGTTTCCTTTTCCTCTCAGCTAGTTTTTTATATGAGACTGGCGTCAGCAATCACTCGTCAACAAGACTGATCTGGGGAGCACAAAACGGCACTGCAGCCCATTATAGGCTGTAGTCGAAATCACATGTTAACTTTTTATTTACTACCTACTACAATTTCTCACGGCAGGGTATTATGTGGAATGCAACCACAATGTTGCAACCTGTTGCTGCAACGAAAAAAGCCAGATAACAGAAATAGTGACATATGCAAATGCAGTATAACGATATGTTGTCTAGCTGCGTTTTTGTTCTATTAAATTTTCCTACATAAAAGGATAAAGCTCTCGGCGTTGATTAGTCTCTGAGGATGCGCCATGCGTTCGACTTCACTAGGTATCGTTGGAGGGGATTGAACACATATCTGGCCTTTACGATGACTCGGTGTGGCCTACCGATGTATCGAGCCGGTGCTACTCTCCTCCCAGACAAGTCTGGTACCAATTTTCCGATCCCGGAAAGATGGAAGGCTGGGGGAGCCATGGGCGCGAGGATCGATTCCACGTGTTTATCGCAGTTGCGCCTCCAACCACTGCGCCACACGGGCCCTAAAATAAGATTTTCGTAGATAAGAAAGAAAATACGCTGTCACTGCTTAAGAATGACAGCATTAGACTAGCGACAATCAAACTGAGGTCGTGAAGATTCAGAACATAGGCTTTCTGTTTTTGCTAGAAAGAAACAGATTTCCTCCATATGCACATAATCACATTCAGCGCATGAATATTTTTGCTTGTGTGGTGAAACGATCTTGGACATTAATTTAGCCAAAAATATAATCATGTGACTATGGATTATTGTGTAATCGACCAAACTTTGTGCACTCTCCACAGCAATGTTCGACGAGCTCCAAATTCGCGTTAGTGTGCAATATACAGGCCATATGATCTTATGACCTTAGTTTAGTGTTCACCAACAGATTCAAACGTACACCATTAATGCATTAATGTTTGGAATGCCCAGGGGCGTGGTGTAGATGCGCGTATCATCCTCATATTCGTTGTTCCTTTATCATGGATTTAAAACAACCTGGCCATAATACAGATTTTACGTCTGCAATGTGAGATCCTCGCTCACTCTTCAATGGATGGCATTGGTATTATTCGTCAATATTGAACGTTTTTTCGATGATCACCCGACTTGACCAAGTATGCAGTTCCCTCCTTATCCCATTAACAAGTTTACAATTCTTTGTACACTTCAAAGAATGCAATATAGAATGTAAATATTCTTTTGGTTTTTCAGGTAGCAGTTTTTTTCTTGTTGTAAACCGGACCTCGGACCTGGGTAATTAAACCTTTATCAAAACAATGTAGCAGTAGCGGCATAATGAAATCAATAAATGTAGGTTTACATAAAGATAAGAATCTATTTAACACTACCGCGACGATGCCTCTTCTCAGGTTTGTTGTGGACTGAATGATGCCTGATTTTCAGCCTTCACTGGACTACTGAATTTTTGATGAAAAAGTAATAATTTTTCTATAACTACAAGATTTCGCGGGTTGTGAATATGAATGGATTGTAGAAAAGACTTTTATCTACCCTTCTACGAGTATAAATGATATTTATGGTGCTATTTACTATATGTTACTACGGTCCATCATACATACACGCTACTGTCAGCATTTAGAAGTGTTTTTCAACTTATGGGTATCCGATTCTGTATTTTTTATATCCACAAAGCCTATACGACAACTATGACTCACCACAGCATTAAACTTACAGTGCAGTTATTCCACCATCCCACCTCACTTCACCTCGCCGCCACCCACCACACCCCTAAGCAGTTTCGTATACCTATAGCATAAATATATGTATAGTATACGCATAGTATTAAAATGCATATTTTTTTTTGCATTTCTTAGTGCCGAATGAAGACGTTCCCGAAGGTCGCCCAACACAAGATCCGTTTTACAAGCCATCAGTTGATAGCAAAAAGTTTAAGAAAATAATTCTATGCGTTAAATTAATCCGCCAGAACAAAAATGAGACACCTATTGATATCCTGCCAACCACTACCGAAAACAATCATGACACCTATAGGTGTCCCTCATCGCGGTAGTGTTAATGCATCGACCACTAGCACGGTGTGCACGTAAAATACGATTTTCGCCAATAATATTTAAACAAATCGTTCAACAATTGAATTTAGCTATACTAAGTGAAGGAACAAGAAAGAAATGAAGATTTGTAGAACAATATCTAAACTAGAAGAATAAGGCGACTAATGATGCTGCTTATATTTCTTGTGGAGTAGGTGGAGTTACAATACGACTATAGGGCTTCCCAACTGGTGCAATCTTGCAGAGCTGATTCAGTATGCTAAAGTACATCGGACGGAGAACGTGTGATTTTCCCGAAAGAGCTCATTCAATCGTGCTACGATAGACATGAGAAATAGATCAGATAAGAATAGAAATCTTACAAAGGTGGTTTGAACAGTTCTACACAAGGAAGCATCAAGCACAAGCATAGGAATAGATACAGAACATTAGCGATTTTTAGGACATTTTTAGTTTTTCCTATGACATCCATGAGGTTGAGAGTATTCTTTACTTTGTGGAGATCTGTCTCTACATAGGATGTTCTCGTAATTTATTCTTGTAATCGAATTGAAACAGTTCTCTCTCGATTAAAGTTCGATATCTAGTAGTTCGGAGTAATGGATTTATCATTGGAATGTGCTGATGAGCTAGTTGCGTGTGACAAACTAAGTATTGCTGCCAGTAGCATCCCGTTAAACTCGGATATCAATTCCTACTAAAATTGTACTGTAAAACTGTGGCTTCTGTGAATATAAAGAAGTGCGTTTCAAACAATATGCCATAAAACCGTAGAACAATGGTAAGTCTTGCAGGGCGGAACAATGATGTGTGGAAAACCCGTCTTGTCTTTAGTGATGACTTTTGCCTAATATTGAACCTTAACGAAATCAAGTTCAGAATGCTGTTTTTACAAAATCAATCAATAACGTAAGAAATGTTGGTGATACGAATAAAATTAATATGTGCCAAGGTGATGGAAGAAAGAAACAACCTTCTTTCTTTTCCGATTGTTTCTTGCCTAATTATTGACCACAGGTATGCGAACACTGCATGATTTCGTCATCTGTAAAGAAAAATGGGTTAGATTTGAGCCCATGTGTTACTAGATATTAACAAATTAACAAATCTATGTGGTCTATGCAGATAAACGAATGCTAAAGCACTTTTCAGCCAATCATTGTTGGGTTGAGTCGGTTCTGAGTGAGTCGTTCCATAATCTTGTCCTTTCCGACAAGGAACAGGTTCACATTCGGAAACACATGGCCGTATTGCATGTGCCGATCGGCTTGATAATTCAAGTACTTGAAGGTGAAAGGGGCTCGTTCATTCGGATCCGATAGTGTCAATGGGAACTCCATAGCACTGTTCAGAATTCCGTTTCCGAGTCCTGAAAATAAGTGTCCATAATGTTCAGGATACCGCTGCCATTACCTAAAGTTGAGCATCGAGAATCTCTCGCCAGTGGTGCCTGATATTATTTGAAGCAGAAGTTACCCTTCACCATAAGACGTCCATCAAAGTCGAAAAGCTCGTTAACCCCAACAATCGGCAGATCAAAGTGGCCTAAATTGCAGAGCGAATCATTTTAAAAACTGTTTGGTAATGAAGAAGCGGATGCAATAATAAGCACATCAAATACCTTTCCCATCAAAATTTAGAAACCTTCCTTTTGTTTTTACACTACTCGTCTTTCACATCAACCGCGAGGATAACGTAAGGTTTCCTCGGTTTGGCTGTTGCATGAGAAATTTCACTTCGGTTATGGATGTCGTTGAATACCTGTCGAGCTGATTCTTCCTAGTTCTCAGGTAACGAAGGTATAGCGTTCCCAGTTGAACTGCAGAGTGCGAACTTTTCCTAGACAAGCTTGATACCAATTTACCAATGGGGGTAGGATGAGAGGTGAGACCACAGTCGGCTCGAACCGTACCGTGGTCGTGGTAATCATTGTTACTACTACTGCGCTATGTGTCCCATGCATCGAGTAATAGAGCAAAAGTGGTAAGGAAACATTTTCATGATTTCTATCGCCAAGCTGCAACTAAATGAGAATGCTGGCACTTCACGTTGCAATTGCCATGAACGACTTTCTTTTAACCTCGTCATTGACTGATAATTCGATGTTTGTGTCCGTTTGTGACGATGTCGATATCTGCTTATTGAAGAAAAACATTGAATGAGAATGACTCAATTTTCCTCTCGTTTAATTGCTGTTTTCAAACTAAGCTCGAGAAATAATCCAGGAATGAAAAGTAAAGAAAAAACTCCATACTATAGGCCACTGGCGGTAATTTTACAGAACATTAGTGACTTTAGCTCTTCCACCAATTCCTACCAGTTGCATTCAGTCAAATTTAAGAAATATCTTGCACGACCTGTTACAGCTGAATTACTAGTGGAAACCCCTATGTAATCGGAGCGTATAAAAAATTATACGCTGCGCTCAGATACTCATAAAGCTCTTCATGTTGGAAAGAAATAACGGCCCGCTATATTGAGTCATTCGCCTACGGATTATCAGATGCAGGTGCAGGCACTAGGTGGCTATGTGTGGTAGATAGATAGATAGATAGATAGGTAGATAGATAGATAGATAGATAGATAGACAGATAGACAGACAGATAGATAGATAGATAGATATAGACATAGATAGATATAGATAGATAGATGTACGTAGATAGATATAGATAGATAGATATAGATCGATATAGATTGATAGATATAAGTAGATATAGATAGATAGATAGATATAGATAGTTAGATATAGATAGATAGATATAGATAGATAGATATAGATATAGATAGATAGATAGATAGATAGATAGATAGATAGATAGATAGATAGATAGATAGATAGATAGATAGATAGATAGATAGATAGATAGATAGATAAATAGATAGATAGATAGATAGATAGATAAATAGATAGATTAGATGCGTAGATAGGTTTTATCGCTGGTAGGGCAGCTAGGTATTAAGACGGTTCTTGCTGTATTCGATATATAAAACTTCACAAACGGTCTACAGATTCATCCAAGTTCACGCAAAATCTCTCTATTTGCTGGTAGTTTTAAGATTCCTTTAAGGAATTGTAAAAATCTGCTTTGCTTAGTAATATGTTGCAAAAATAAGTAGGTTAAAAAACATGATAGGTAAATATGATGAGGAAATTGGTGGGAAATAACACCCATAGGGAACACGGGCAAAGCTTGGGTGGTTTACGTACTGCGCTTACCTGAAACTTCCACAATTTTCGAAAGATCGTACTCAGATCCTACAGTGAAGGCCGTCAAGAACGGCTGATATGTGCCTTCATTGCGCTCGAACGCTAAGTCGGCATATTGGTCGAAGTTACGTCGAACTTGCAGATCATGATTATTTACACCCTGAACGCGGTAGGTTACCGTTGTTTTCTTCAAGAAACTCTCCACTCGGGACCCACATTGACTGCAAAACCAGCACCCCATGAATCTATCAGGTCTTCATTGAAGGTGGCAGCGACGGCCTGTGTAAACGGATTGAAGGAAGATCTAAATTCACAAAACACAACTATTGGCATGGTGCTAGAGCTCATTCTGCTTTTCTTTAAATGTATAATGTCAAGACACCAATTTAAAAGTGCTATTTCAATGTAAGTTTATAAAATATTAAACTTTATGCGTCCTATCGAGTCTTCAATATTAGCACTTTCACAGTATGAAGTTTTCTTTATACTGTCGAAAAGGCCAGAACGCGTCACAGAGTTCAGCAAGAATAGGAGGAACATATGGAAAGATTACGATTAAGGCTTTCAGCCACTATTTGTGGATTACGTGTCCTCACACGGAGCTTTTTAATCTCGGCGTTCTGGTTGGCCGTAGGATGTCTACACGATGAAAGCCTTGTTTTAGTTGAAAACGACCAACATCGAAACCCACGGAAAGTCGCAGACCAGATTTCAGCATGGAACTTTCTTTCTAGCTATAAGAAAATCTACCCTGTGTGAGGGAGACCATCAAAGACTGTAAAAAATGAAAGTTATTTCAACGTGTATTAGATTTATGTGAACAACAAGCGGGCCATCCCACTCGTAACAGCAAGATGAGTAGTTTTTGATCAATATGGCGTTTATTTATACATTAGACCTTCAATAATACTAAAGTGTTATTTTTCAGCAAGTACTGTTCACAGAAGAGTAAACTCGGGTGAGAAATAAGGCAGAAGTAGTAGACTCAGTGGACATGGTGGGTTCATCAAAAGGGTATACAAAAACTTCGAAAGCTTCGCTAGAACGCTTTAGTTCATTCTCTTTACTCTCTCGATCTTAAAATTTTTGCAAACCATTTCAAGTGGTATGAATTTCACTTCTTCGAAATGCTGGGGAAATCCATAAAGTTATATTGCAAAGGAGCATGGAATTATTAGAAAGGTCATTAATCACAGTGAAGAAGAAAATGGCCCAAACCCAATTTAGAACTGGATTTTAAATCGGATAAACATGGTGGGTTTTGGCTGAGAAAATGGGACAAGGTTTTCAATGATGAAATATTATCTTAAAAATATAGCGTGAAGCAATGACACGAGTCTTTTAAGTCGTCAACAAGTACCTGCACACTGCCTGAATCAACAGCTTTTGGTTGAAAAAGGCGGTGGTTTTTGTCATAATGAGTTTTCAGATATCTCTAGGTAGAATGGTCAAAAGAAATAGCTTTGAATGAAACACATTCAGGTAGTGAAATACCTTCCACTAAAGTCCGCTTTTTGACCGGGTAAATGCACGTCGGGTACGCTCATGGGCTTCTCGCCGGCCTAGTAAATAATTGTGAAAAATTTTCATAGTCAGAAATGAATAGCCTTTTATTGCCCCAATTTTGTTGAAAAGAAGGAACGTAGTTAGTCAAAAGACCTATTCGGCTAATGTTTCGACGTCTTCGACTTCCTCAGCAGGTCGCTTCACTTTAGCGGTGCTTCACTGAAGAAGATTCGACTCGATGCGACGATGAAAACATCATATTGAGAAGGCGAACAACTGTGGACCGGCGACTCGGACCATCGGCTCTCCCGAAAGCGCAGACGTCGAAACGTCAGCCGAATAAATCATTTTACAAACTACATAGTTAATTATTTCTTCGTGAGCTAATATTTTCACTACTAGTGAATCACCTTATCTCCAGCTATGTACAGATTCGGAAAGAACGGTGCTGAACGTTCATCAGTCATACCAGTTGGCAGCTGTAGTAGGCCGAGACCTCGAGGACGATCACGGATGAAGGTAGCTGAACCACAAAATAGCTGGATATGTTTGTACTAGGACATCTGTTGATATTGCAGTCATAGCTACACTTATAGTTTCAAAAATCACGGACATAACATAGATATAACCTCTTCAGACAATGTAACACTCAAAAGGCTCATAGTCACTTATGAAACTATAGTGAAAGTGCTAACCGTTCTATTTACTGCCTACTCTTTTCAATGGTAGGGTATATGGCGAAGTATAACTGCAATGATGCTGAGATATTTGCAAAACTCCGGATCGCAGATGTCTGCGGTGGGGAACGAACACGCTATTGTCCTTTCCGGGGAGTAACGCGTTCACGACCACACCATGAGAGTCCTTCGTTTCGCCTATCACTCAGCTAGTTCAATCGACCTCTGCCAACAGCAATCACCCGCCAGCGGGACTGATCTGGAGAGTCCAAATCGCCAATGGTCCAAAGTTTTGCAAATATCTCAGCACCATTAAAGTTGTACTGAAAGTTCTTATCGGTTGTATTATTTGGCACTTATTACCAGCATTTATTGGCCCTGTGACATTCCCACTAATAGAGCATAATGTCTGCTAGAAAATGAGTAGCATTGCATGATCACTTGCTAAAGTGTGAATTTTCCAACTTACCTCTCGCTTCCAGCAAAGGAATAGTGAATATGAACAGAATAATTGCTACAATCATATCAACGATCTCGATATTTGATTGCAGCGACGGAATTGGGATCAGAGCGGAAAGCGGAATACGGCCGGCTCGGTTCAGATCATCCGATCCAGTTTCCGATGGTATCCTGGTGGCGGCCGGACAATCGCGTATGGCGCTGTTATTTCTTGGATTCCGTTTACCTCTATCTCCATACTATTATGCACTTCATTCTTAGAAGCCCTTGCTCTTTAAGTTTTTGCTTTCGCCTTGCATTGAATGAGGTTCTTTAGAAACACCCTCATTATGGTGGGGAATAACTAAGTCGGCCCCTTCTTTGAATAATGTACAAGAACAACAAATGGTTGTTTTGAAATTACAGCACATTTTGGAAAATATTTTCACTTTTATATAATGCTGAGATATTTGCAAAATTCCGCACCGCAGGTGTATGCGGTGAGGAACGAATACGCGCTGTTGTCCTTACCCGGGGAGCAGCGCACTTCACCACCACACCATCTGGATCCTTCGTTTTGCCTGTCTCTCAGCTAGTTCTATCGATTTTTTGCCATCAGCTCCCCGGTAAGGACAACAGCGCGTGTTCGTTCCCCACCGCATACACCTGCGGTGAGGAGTTTTGCAAATATCTCAGCATTATATACGAGTTATATTTCGCAACATACCCTGTCATTAAAAAGAAAAAGGCAGTGAATAAAAGGGTTACGATTATTCTTACTTTGTTGTGATTTTGAATGATGGCTCTTCTTTATTAAACCTAAACCCCTTCGTCAGAATCAGAATAGTTTAACTGTTTTACTGGCCGGTGTAATCGTAAGAAGTGTAAATTTGTATCACTGACGCCACGTAAGGAGAAGTGATTGTGAGTCTTGCTCATAGACCAAAGGCAACGTGATCTTTACCGATCACTTTCGAGAGACAAAGTTTTATACTGACCTTCCAAAAGTCGTATTTACTTAGGCTATTTTTTATGAATGTCTTTCTAAACTGCACATTTCGAGGGCATATGCTCAATAACTTCATTCTATCCCTAGCTAATGAATGTTTGATTGCTCAATCGTTGAAGCCCGACACAGTTTTCTGTGCATAACTCCATCTTATTGCTTCTTTGTCTAAGTGCAATGAGTAGCTCAACTGAGTTGCTGTCTCCTTCATGAGTGGTAGAGAATTAATAACTCTCTAACTTCTCCTTTCCTTCGTTTTTTTGTGAGGTCGTTTGTTTTTCCAGTTAAGAGAACCACAGTACAGAAGACGCTGATTTGCATCTTTAATTGTTAACCTAGTAACCTAAGCACATAAAATTACTCCTAAAAAACTTATAGATACCTACAAAAAGATAGAGGGAAAACTCTTGATCAATCCCTGAGTGATGAGCCATGAATTCGACTTCATCAGGCATCTTTAGGGCTGACTGAATGCATATATGGCCTGTACAATGACTCGTGTTGGCGTATCTATGAATCGAATCAGTGCAGCTGTCGTCCCAGACAGGTCTGGCACCGTTTTTCTCCCGATGACAAAGGGATGGAGGGCTTGGGGAACCCGAGTGTGTGATCGAACCCATGTGTATTGCAGAGCGCTTCTAACCACTGTGCTGCACGCAACGCACTGATTCCACAAAGTGATTTAACTATTAAATTCTCTATTAAATTACACTAGAAACGTAGAAAATTAAAAATCTACGTAGGCTACCACAGATTATTTCAGCTTATGCGGAGTTCAAAATCTTTCGCACATCCCTTTCTAATGATCAAACAGTTGTTGTTAATGGTACGAAATAAATTGTAATCCTTAATGAGAACAATCTTGAACAGATGTAAGTGAACAGAGAGCGTGTTTAAGAAGTGAACGTTGACAACATTCAGGTTATTGTTGATGGAGAGGAGAGTAGTCCATTTTTGTTGTCCATCTCCACAGCTTAGCCGATCATGGTCGGATTGAGGCTGTTCTGTGACAGTCGCTCCATGATCTTGTCTTTGCCGACAAGGAACAGATTCACATTCGGCACTACATGGCCATATTGCATGTGCCGATCAGCCATGAAGTTCAAATATTTGAATGTGAATGGCGCTCGCTCGTTCGGATCCGACAGTGTCAACGGAAACTCCATAGCACTGTTTAGAATGCCATTGCCGAATCCTGGAAAGAACCTTAATAATTTCAACACAACACTTTTAAAGTTACCAACTTTAGGCGCCGAAAACGTGGTCTATGACTAGAATTCTGAAGTTTAACTGAAGAATGCTGTCTGATTTCCGTACTTGCTGCCAAAAATTTCAAATGTATTTCAAGCCAGAAAGCATCGTGTCTCATATTAACACATAACGCACGCGTGGTTTCTGGCGTCCCTGCCGCTTGGGACGGCTCGTAATTTTTAGTCATTATGGACTACTGGCTGGTTTCTTGGTAGTGGAAGAGTTTTCGATAACTAGACGATTCGAGGGGTTATGAAAGAAAGACTTTGCTCTATCGTTCTGTGTCTTAGTGGTAGATATGATAGTATTTGCTATATTTTTCTGTAATCCATCACAGAATGAGAGAATAGTCCAACCTGAGCTCATACAGGCCACTCGGTGCGCCGTAGCAGGTATAGAATGCAACCACCCCTAATGTGTTAGGAGCAAAATGGGACGCACGGTGTAATACTAGGCACTTTCGGATTTCTTCACCTCGTTTTGCAGATTTGCTTAATAATATCGGAGAGCTAAGCGACTATACAAACTGCATTTCATACAATTTGAAATGACCTGTTCCCGACGAACTACCTACCTTTTAGCATTATCCTTCCATCAAAGTCGAACAGTTCATTCACGCCAGGAATCGGTATATCGAAATGCCCTTAAAGCGCTAGTTTTGGACATTGTTGAATTGTCTTTCGAAGCAAGTTTTAAATTAGAAAGTATTTCTTCCACAATATTCTGAGCTGTCCTTCTGCTAAATGTAAGCGTTGCGCATAAGTGGCTTACAAGTACTCGCTAATATTCATTCGAAACAAATGAGCTCATCGCTATTCTTGCTAGAAAGAATACATATTGATTAATTCCCAAGACCGACTTTCTGTTAACCTCGGCATTAATTGATAATTCAATGTTTGAAAAAACATGAAAAAAAAATTCAAAAATGAACCGCAAGGAGGAGTGTCTTGTCATCACGCGTGACCTGGCGGCATACCTAAGGCTAATCCAATGACCTGATATGGACACAGTTATCGACCATGTATTACTCTGTGCGTCGGCTATCCATCAACTAACTTAAATATTTACAACAAATAAACGGTAGGTGTTTGAATGAAGCTGTTTCTTATGCGAATGCAAACCGATTTGTCAAGTTTTATCTGCTAGGGTTATGAAAGTGTTTGGCTGAGTAGATCACATCTCAATTTGACCTTTCCAGGCTCTGAAGAAGGCGAAACCGCCGAAACGTCAGCAATTGTGTTCTAATAAATTCTATATTAACAACCTCGTGTCTGCTTATTGAAGAAAAACATTGAACATATTGATTAGTCACACCGAAGTTCAAGGAAAGTCGGTTTCGAAATATTACTACGGCTTGTGCTAGCTGATAATAACACCGACTTCTGCAGGTTTGATTGTCCGGGAAAAACAAGTTACCATCACTCTATCACTGGACAATCACAGCTATCCACCATCAGCAACCTGCATAAAAGAGCACCACCGAGTCTCATTCGTGGAGATGGGCCGCTGAGGAAGACTTGACTTGACACGAAGGCGAAGCTGCCACGTCGAGACGAATAACAAGCGTGGAGGGCCGCTGAGGAAGACTTGACTCGACACGAAGGCGAAGCTGCCACGTCGAGACGAATAACAAGCGTGGACCATCGACTCGGATCATCGGCTCTGAGGAAGACGAAGACGTCGAAACGTTAGCCGAAAATAAACACCATTATCAACCTCGTGTAAACTCATCAAAGAAGAATACATACTGTTCTTGCTCTTTGAATTGGTTACTATTCTAGCAAATCCAGCAAAGTCAGCGAATTCTTTCTTAAATACCTTGCTTGAACGACCACAAACACATTGAAGGATGAGGCATTCGTCGTTGATCACTTCCTAGGCGACTCCTTCAACCATCGTAGAGGTGATTAAAAGCATATGTAGCCTAGAAAGTGCACTTCGTTGGTCTGCAGATGTGTCAGTTTAGTGCTTCTATTCTCCTAAGCAACGCCGGTGCCTTGGGGGTAGATGCACTTGATGAACCTGGGGCGCAAGATAGAACCAACGACCACGTGTGTAGTTCTGGAAACTCCACTGCGCTACACACACCTTTAATCATATTGCTAATTGAAACAGAAAGATGGTCTCGTTGATTGACTATGGAGCAACGGTCGGTTTTGTTGATTCTCTTATTATAAGAAATGGCTAGTGAAATAAAATTTCTCTGCCAAAGACGTGCATTTAACAAGCACAAGATCAATAATGCTTTTTATTTTAACGAAGATCAAAAATCTGCCCAGATAAAGAAGTGTCACTCTTTCTATTTTTACCATTATTCTTACGCCAGAGCACTGCAAAATCTTCTGATTACCTGCAACTTCTCGAATTTTACTGAAGTCGTATTCAGCACCAACTGTACCGGCCGTCAAGAACGGTTGGTACATACCATCGTTACGACTCAGTGGAGCATCGGCATATTGATCAAAATTACGTCGCACTTGTAAGTTAAAGTTGTTTGCTCCCTTAAGGAAGTGGAAAGAGTCTTAGTCGAAGCGACAGTGAGTGTTCACCGAAAAATCACGTACATTGACGGCAAAACCCGATCCCCACGAGTCTGTGAGGTCTTCGTTGAAAGTGGCTGCTACTGCTTGAGTAAATGGATTGAACGCAGATCTAAAGAGCGTTACTCAGGCCCAACATAGGAAGATAACGGTAGAAGTTAATGAAAACATGAAAGAAGAGAGAGAGAGAGAGAGGATGGGTGTGAATGACTTCCGTTCATTCACCGTGTTTTATTGATCTGTAATAATTTGGCAAAGTTACTGAAGCACGCTGACTTTGAAGCCTGACTGAGAATTTCCTATTTTATAAGTCAGTTCGGACTATACTGTAATCAAAAGACTACAGGTTTATGGTACCTCGATATGGATAACAATAAACTCGCTATGCCTCACATTCTTCAACATGTCTTAGCTTTCCTGTTCATCGTCTAAGAAGCCAAGCGAATGGCATTTAATCTATTCCTTCTTTGTTGACGTCTGAGAAAATTTTCCATTTGTTCTCTTCTGTAAGTGGAGCCTCGATTGCTCGCTTGGTATACGTTGTCGACGTTATCGGAAATAGTAGCTTTTAACCATTCTGGAAGGTCCGTTCACTTTTGTCGCCTTTCCTTCCTTTTTGCTAAGGTCCTAGAGAGATGGTATGATGAAAATAATGGAATCGAGGAAAACAACGAGGTCACCATATCGGGAAAATCGACGTAATCCCGCACAGTACGTTTTTGGACGGCCTTCCTATATTGTTTGCTTAGCGTTAAAGGCATTTATAATTGCTACGCTAATTTACGGTCAGTACGGAGTCATCCGTTTCGGCTTAAGATAGTTTTGGAGGATAGGCCACTACAGAGGTAAAATTTGGCACGAGTTCATAACATTTCAGACCCCGATCTGTGGTAAACGGATGTGATCCAGATTACTCAAGGGTAGATTCCGTTCGGTATTACACAATCGTGACAATGCAACCTCATATTGATTCGTAGGATGCAAAAGTAATGCCTGCTTCCAAGTCAAATAAATCAACTTGTCTTGGCCCATAATGGACTGAGATGGACTAGCTCGTAATGAACCAAATGAAATGAAAACTTTAAGAACCCGTAGAATTCCGTCTGCTAGATGCATGTTCTATTATTGTGCCACTATAGAACTAAATTTCTGAAGCCCAAAAAACAGCTGTTTACGCTTTTTGCTACTTGGGCCTCGTATTTACAACGCCAAAGTTGTTGACCATGCGCGATTTCGTCTGGTGTTTCCCAATGTTTCGATATTGCACGTGGTTGGTGGGATGTGTGGGAAATTCAAAAAATTTAAGTCTTTCGTTGCCGTCCTTTCAATTGTTTGAAAATTTCTATCTTGAACAAATTTTTAAAGGCCTAAAAGTTAAATTTTTGAGATAATATTTTGCAAAATTTATAGTTTTAGGTAGGAGAGTTAATCAAGCCGTAATGTTCTCAACTCTCTCACTAATCTAGTGATAAGAAAATAGTCGCATATTGTCGGAAAACTGACACTGCGATTTTCTCACGGTTGTAATGCTAACCAGTTGACCCGTTGCCGTAATGAGAAGGAAGATCTGTGGAAAAGTGCATTTTGCACTTGGATCGAGATAATTTTATATCATACCGTCCACTGAATACTGCCACCTGTCCTGGAAGGTGAACGTCTGGCACGGATGCTGGTTTCTCACCAGCCTGAGATCGTATCATGTGGTTTTTTTTAACGAAGTGGATATTATCTGAAATCAGTTCCAATTTTCGTCAAGATAAAATGTACCTTGTCTCCAGCTATGTACAAATTTGGAAAGAATGGTGCTGAACGTTCGTCCGTCATTCCTGTGGGCAATTGAAGGAGTCCCAGACCTCGAGGTCGATCACGCAGGAATGGGGCTTAATAGTGAAAATTTTCTTAGAACTAAATAGTAATGCTTTTCTACAATTCAATTTTCTTGTTTCAATCAACGAGTAATAAACCACTCTTATTTATGGCATATATGGAAAGGTGGTAAGCAAATTCGTAGCAACGCCTGGTATACTGGGTCTGTAGAACAGGACGACAACTAAATTTTCTACAGTTGTGGACTGTATTGAAATCAATGCACTTTGTCTGCTATGTTCTTAAAAAATGTTCGTCGATTATCTGCCTTATTAGCGAAGTCTTTGTGGTATTCAAAAGTGGAGATAGGAAGTGGAGAGATATCGGAGTGGAGTTATTGTTTAGCTAGATATCTTAGCACCATGGTTATCTGTGGTAATTACACAAAATATCTTTGCACTTTCTTCATAAGCAGCAGCTTTTTTATGGGATGAACAAACTTGTCAGGCGAACAGGCTTTTTTGCGGATTATTAACCGCAGAATGCGATTTTCCCCGAACTACGCTTGGTACAACACTGGTGCTCGGGAAGCTAACGACTGAATACAAAAATATGGCGAAAGAACTCTGTGTAGCAAAAAACCACCAAATGCATTGAAGCGAATGCACATTGTCCATTGATCACCACTTGCGCGTCGTCGCGAATTAGTTAAAATTGTGTCAGATGTACCCTTCTGCTATTTAACATCGTAACTCTCATAAGTTAGGACAAAATGGCCTATCAAATCAACCAGCTAGAAAATGTTTACTCATTGCGAGCAGTTGTCGTCAAACCTTCACCTTGATTTCCAGCTGTGTTTTGGTTTCTTAAGGTGAAGCTTTGTTCCACTTAAGGGTTTTACCGTTAATTCATTCAAGAACAGCACATGCGGTTACTTGCTCATCCTTGTACTTCATTTGCCTCACTGTGGACACGCAATGGCAACGATTCCAAGAAAAAGAATTGCATAATCTCTTTTCCACTTGTGACTTATCCTTAGCATAACGGAGTATTATTTAAGCCCGTCGAATAGATGGGCTGTACACGGGATTTTTGGTTTACTTATTTGAAGACTTGATACTTGATACTTGAACTGTCCGCTCTTACTGGTGGTCCGGACCCCAGCATAATTTCCTTTTCGAGATTTGCTGGTTAAGCCATTCTGGTTTCCTGGAATTCCGACGTCAACCTGGCCAAAGTCTACTCCAGGTCTTCACTACCATAGCAGTCGGAGCCGTTGTGGATCGGAAGGAGATTTGCCACCATGCGACTTTGATACTAGGACGGTGGTGGACCCTGGTATTGTCTTGGCTAGGCTTGCTGATAGAAACGGCAGATCTTCTCATCTTGGGAGACCTTGCTAGGGGATGGATCTCACGCTGTACATCGCACTCTGACACCTAGGAACACCTCCCAGCCATAATGAGGCAGCAAACCGTTGGGAGGTATTCGAAGACTAGCGTTTTTTAATGAAGCGGATGAATAAAGACATCCCGAGAGGTGAATAGCATATTAGTAGCACCGGTTACCACGGGCACGGTGGTGGTTCGATCCCGTTCCGCACTCACCAAGCTTTTCATCCCTCCGGGCTCAGGACATTGGTACCTCACTCTCTGCATTCCATTTGGGAACATCTTAGCCCGGCTACCTTAAGACTCCAGTGAGAATCGATTCCACCAGCATTCTATGCTATTCAAGATGAAATGAAAATCGTCAAGCAGAAGCCGAAGCCATAGGTAAAGGTAAGGAAACCTCAGTGGAAGATAGGTGCGATGAAACGAACCCGAATGTGAGAAGCGCTGGGATCCGCAGAATAAATGCGAATTCTAGTCGTACAAAAATAAAAAACAAAAGGTAAAACATTTCTGTAGAAATCCAACTAGGGTTTGATTAAAATGTAGCTTGTTAGCTTCTTCTGTAACTTCTGAAAGATCTACGCCATCCTTTATTAATTAACTGGCCCTTTCACAGTTTCCGCTCAAAATGTGAGATTTACAGTCAGGGAAACCCACCTTGTTTCCTGTCTACAGGCAAATCCAGTGTAACATAAGCTAATGCAAACTTTGTGGCACTCACTTGAGCCTTTCGATGATAAATTTGAGCAATGTAGAGATAATAGAGATAAAAATGATGAGTGACTCAAGTACTTGTAAAATTCAAGTATACACCTCGTACTTGACTTAGTAAAGTTTTTAAAAGAAACGAACCTCTACTACTCACATCCTCAAATACTTGAGTCATTACAGCAAGTAGAGCCACACGGTACTGTGTCATCATTGAACTCGCAAGAACGAAAGATGAATGGATAAAATACAATGTTAACCTCTTATTTTTTACCGATTATAAATTTCACGGTAGGGTATGATGTGAAATACAACCACAACGATGCTGAGATCATCGCAAAACTTGAACCGCAGGCCAGATCTGCATGCAATAACTGTGGTAACTATGGTCTTCTCTAAAAGTGCCCTAGATTTCAGTTTCAGTAGAACTGGTATGGTTTGGGCTTAAAATGAGTTGAGAGTAGAGGTGCTGGAACGTTCTTTTTACTGCACAACGAAAAAAGTATGAGAACGCTGGAATGTTTTAGTGTAAAAAGACGAACATCTGGACGCACAACTATTGTGAATTCAGCTGCAATTCTTTATCATCGAGATATTGTGACATGATCGTGACTTGAAATTTTTGCCAACATTAACTAGGAATCCACATCGCGAGTCACAAAGTCCAGGTTGGCGCTATGCTATGCAGCTTTGAACATTTGCGGTCAACTAATTCTGCATGGAGAAGAAATCGTTGGTGAACAGTTCCATTACAAATTGGGAAACACCTCTTTGCCAAAATTGAGACCTATTTTGGAATCCATTCTCTTTTAATGCTTACTAATTACAAGTGGACGAAGGTGTCAATCTAGATAATTCTTGAAACTTCCTAATCACACAATCTTCTGCTACTGTATAAAATTAAATTTCGAGTTGATATGCTCGATACGGTAGCAGAAAGCAAGGAAACAGTTGGAAATCTTTAGAAACCACAAACGACCGATTTGAGATCAACAGGTATGATAAAATGTGGATCGGATCATTCCTCGACTCTGTCCCTTTGTTTCTTTGTCCGCCTTTCCTTGTTTAACCTGAAAAAAAAAGACCGGATTCGTCATACCTCACCTATGTGTCATTCCAAAGTTGCAAAACGTAAATAGGCTCATCAGCAATCTATTTTTTCATAATGTGTTCCAAATTAAATTGAAGAAGTTTAAAGGCAGATTTTCTGTGATTTTCTAAGTTTTTGAGGCTTTTTTTAAGGTTTATTATTTCTAATAAGGTATTCGGTGAAGACGATCACCAAAGATTATTCCGTGCTAGTGATATGGAGATGTTTGAGAAAGTTGCATTCTCTTGGTGAGAGGCGGTTTGTTAAATCTCTTATACGATCCTGAGCTGTTCCAACTGCTAGGACCGATTGTGTGATAATTTGTCTGACACCGTCCTGAAACAAATCGGTCTACAATTTACGGGTTGGAATGATTGCATCTCCTGCCCAAAAAGTCGTCGGATGTCGTCAAGAATCAGTTTTTTATCATGCTTTACATTATTCTCGAAAAACAAATCATTTTCCTAGATGAAAAAAGTAAGATAGATTTCTTAACTAACGATTCTATTGTCAGTTCTCCATTTCACATGACAATCGTGTTTTGTTCTCGGACTAGTTTCGGTTGGCGACTTCATACGGTCACCTATGGATGACAGCAGGCCGAGCTCGATCTTCGTCTTCTTCGTCATTTGAACCTTGCAAGAGCATTCTTTTATACCTGCAGTAGCCGATCTTTAGTCAAATGAAACCTTTATCTTCGGCCCACTTCTTCGACTTCACGCATAAGTTCGGATTCATGCAAAAATTTCCTGACATTGTTTCACACTATTTTTATTCCTATAATATAATGAATCCAAATTAGTAGAAAAAAACAATATTAAATTTGAGCGGGAAGGGGTAATCATCCTTTTCATGAAAAAGGTAGTTTTTCGATTGCCGACGGTAATTTCTCGATCTATGAAGTATTCCAGATTTATAAATGGGACGTTTCTGTGCCACATATTTCGTCTTTATGAAGTCTCCTTTAGATTGAAATGCATTTAAAATTGAAGCTTTCCAGAAACCGGTAACGAAGTTTGTCATTTAAAATTTCCAACAGGAGAGGCAGCAGCACCAATTATAAAGGAAACGCTACGAGGACAGTGCTGTCCTGCTGGACGCGAAAACCCCGCTTATTCATCCACTTTTGTGCTTGAAATATGAGCGCTGAATCAATAAAATGAATAAAATAATACCGACCACTTCAGAAAATCAGAGATTCCTTGTCGTAAAATGATAGAACTCGCTAGGCAAAAACTTCGACACTACAAAGCTACTTTTTTTAATTAATGAAGTTCGCTACGACCAGAGAGGTCTGTTCATTTGAAGCTGAAGGAGGTCAGTACCTTCGTGCCATATGACTTCCATCGAGATCACGTTGTCGTGTAAAAGTTCGTTTAGTACACAACATTTATTAATCCAGTGATGAATAGAATTCCATCTTAAAAAGCCCGCTATGTTTCTACGGGATCAAGTTGACGTTTTCTGCACAACGCAGTACTTGACAAGTAATTCTTCGTATTTTTGTTGAGCAAACGCGTGGTGTTATTATTCTTTATTCACGAATAAGGTGACGTTTCGGCGGATTTCGCCTTCCTCAGAGTCTGGAAAGGTCAAGTTGATAGGAATCTACTCGACCAGACGCCTCCATAACCGAACAAAGAAACTCTAAACCAAGATTTCAATCATATTGAACACAGCTTTGCACACTCACCGCTTTCTATGAGGTCTCCACTAAGTATGTAACGTAGAGACCAACCGCACAGAAATCACATGGAAGCATAATGTGCCCCTCCCATCAGAATAGCAGTCTTATATACTGCCCTATATCACGCGTGATGATGAGGCATTCTTCCCTGCGGTTCATTTTCGGATTTCTGGAACTAGTCCAGAATGCCTCGAGAGTTTTGAGCGCTTGTGTTCTTGATTCGTGTGCGAGGATCGTGACACATACTTCAAAGGCAGTACTTAACAGTTTAGTTTACGTAGTGGCAGTCTAACCATTCATGACTTCTACGTGTAGTACAAGTACCATATAAATAAATCAGATAAGAACCACTACTGTGCCGTCTAGATGAGTTAGATCTCTTACACTCAGTATCTTGTGCTTTTAGAAATTCATTGAATATATTCCCTTTTGTTAGAACTTAGCACATTAGGGCTGCTAGAATTCTCTAGTCTCCTACAAATGAACAGACTAGGAATCGTATGTGATTGGTGGTTCTGGAGGAGAAAAGAAATGAAGTAAAATATAAATATTAAACATAATCCATGAATTGGCTGGTAGTAAAGTGGTAATCGTGCAGATCATCAAATTCTGGGCAGGGAAGTCATCAATAAACTTGTCTATGAAAAGTTGATCCACTGCAATACAAGTGGAAACGACAGCCATCTCAGGCCTCTAGGAAGAATCTACACGAGAAGCATTCAACCACATTCATGAAGAAGATGACGTTGGCCAAAACGGAGCCAAACCCGCTCGCTTAAAGTTAGAAAACATTCTTGGATGGTGGATGGGATGAAACTAGTGGAATGCAATAAGCGCCCAAATCTCCACGGTAGTTGTGGAAGACGGTTCGTGTAAAAAAGACGCAATCGGCGACGTGGTTCTTCTGCTTGTAATTGTACTTTTATTGGTTGGTCGCTGACAAAACGATTCAGTCCATAGCGGTTGCTTTTTTTCTTCTAAGTTGTTCTGGTGCAAAAATGGTAGAAACTAAAAGCAATCACTGGTAGCAAATTATTAGTTGGCAGAATTTCTGTCCGCCCATGGTAAAATCCGCTGAGTTCGTTTTTCGTAGCAAATTCAGTGCATCAGAAAGACGGATTCGATGGAATTTTTAGGTTTATTGAAGCAATAGATATTAGCTCAGATGTTAAAAAAGTATGCACGCTTTCTACTTTTTCTTCTTCACAGAATGCTGCTTCGCTATGGCTGCTTCGATTCTTTAAGATCTTGTTTTGATTTTCTTTCACATGGCACATGTATGGGTTTTGTATGGCTTGCAACACTGGGTTAGATGTCTTGCGTCCGTCATCCACGAAGGTGTTCGGATTTGCAGCATTTTTATTTCTATTTTTTTGTTTATTTGCAATTTTTATTCTTCAGCTCGAAGTCGTGTCTTCTTCTTCTATGTCGTTCAATGCTGCTCGCTCCCTGTCATCCTGTGATAGAATTCACATAGCACTCCTAGGTCTTCATTGTAGGCAGCCGCCGAACTTAGTCGATTATAGAAAGCTTTCGCGTAGATCTACCTATCACGGAACGATGAGGCAAGGATTGGCCTAGGGTAAGGTTGAAATGGAAGATGTGTATTCTTTCTTGATAAGCTTGCACGAGGTTGATAAATATATTTATTTTCGGCTAACGATGCATCGTGTATAAAAGGGCATCACTGAGTGAGGATGGCTCATTCGAGAAGATGGCTCACTGAGGAAGATCTGGCTCGACACGAAGGCGAAGACGCAACGTCGAGACGAACAACAAGCATGGACCATCGGACTCGGATCACCGGCTCTGAGGAAGACGAAGACGTCGAAACGTTAGCCGAAAATAAATATATTTATCAACCTCGTGCAAGCTTATCAAGAAAGAATACATATTGATTAGTCACACCGAGGTTTAGGGAAGGTCGGTTTCGAAATATTACTACGCTTTGTGCTAGCTGAAAGATGTGTGTATTGCAGAGCACCCTAGTACTGCGCTATGCGTGTCCCACGTGTATTATGAATAACCACTCTCTCTAAGTGCTTGAGATTTATTTAACCAATTTCTAAAAGCTTTAGTATAAAGGGCGCAACTGCAGCTTTTTAAAACGAAAGAATTTGTAATGAATTATAGTAATAAAGCCATAACACCTAGTGCACAGCAGTAACAATAAGTACTTGTCATAACACCCACGTTTAACTTTCTATTAACCTCGGCATTGATTGAATAATTCTTTCCACTTCTGTTCAGCAAACACGAGGTATTATTTTATTTCTTTATTTACGCACAAGCTAACGTTTCGGCGGATTTCGCCTTCCTCAGAGCCTGGAAAGGTCAAGTTGACAGCAATCTATTTGGCGAAGCACCTCCATAACCAAACAAAGAAAACGCTAAACCAAGATTTCAATCACACTGAACACAGCTCTACACACTCACCGCTTTGTATGAGTCTTCCACTGAGTTTGTCACGTGAAGACCAACCGCACAGAATTCACGTGGAAGAGTAATGTGCCTCTCCCGCCAGAATAACAGGTTTATATACTGTCCATTACCACGCGTGATAATGAGGCATTCTTCCCTGCGGTTCATTTTCGGATTCGTGGAATTAATCCAGGACGCTTCGAGAGTTTTGCGCTCTTGTGTTCTCGATTCCTGTTCGAGGATCGTGACACATAATTCGAAGTCCTCCCCGTTACGTCTCTGGGTCGTATGCGTGCCTATCGGAGTGTTCGGTTTATGTTTGCCGGCTAGGTGTTCTTTTATGCGGACACAGAGGGGTCTGCCCGTTTCGCCAATGTATTCGTCTCCGCACGCCTTACAGGAGATCAGATAGACTGTACCGGAGCTCATGCAATCACTCTCTTTACCATTGGGGCAAATTAAGCAATTTTGCGTTGCACATAGACGGTCATATAAGAGATCATTAGGTGTTGAGATAACTAAAAAGCATCTTGAAGATGTTTCGCTTTATCGCCCATCATATGAGGAGTTTAAAAGTAAGTACCTAAAATTGAACCACGAATGGGCCAAAATGGCAAGAGCGACTGGTTTAAAACCATCGGTTATCTCTCAACTAACAGTTGACTTACCAACATGTCTCGTCTTGTGCTTGCTTATAAAAACTCATAAGTTCGTATCCAGCGATGATCTTACGTCTACCGATCCATCATTATTTAATGTTAGTCCTATCATTAGCTGCGTAGACGGGCCAATGCATAGGATATCATGGTTTTTAACCCTAATATTTAACCAGTTGTTCAAACATATTCCAGCCCACCTTGCGAATACCTAGATGTTTCTGGATCGTCTACGTACTGCGCAGTCCAGAAGGGCATACGTGATGGAGTCCTTCAACGTTACTGCCCTTAATACAAACGTGTCGAATGACTCAGCAATGCAAGCCATATTCGAACTCCTTGTACAACACGAAGGAGAAATAAACATGCACGGCTTTAAGATAAAGCAGTTGATGACATTCTTAAAAGAATGCTTGAGCTGCTCAATCATTAGATGGTCGGGAAAGTACTACGCTCAAATAAGAGGGTTGGCAATGGGACAGGAACTGGCACCAAGTCTTGCCACTGCGTTTATGTCTAAGGTGGAAGCACCAGTGACCTCGGGCAGTTACTTTACTGTAGATATATAGATGACTGCTTTGTCCTTTGCTCAACACAAGAGGAAATGGACAAATGTTTCGAGTTGTTAAATGCACAGTCAGAGTATATCAAGTTCACCCGAGAGAAACCGAAGGAAAAATGGCTTCCATTCTTGAACGTCCAAATTAACCTGTCAGAAAATGGTTACATTACGAAGTGGTACCGAAAGCCAAGTAGTAAAAACATCTTGGTACATTACCTCTCTTCTTACCTCTCTCACACGAAAGGGACGCTTGTAAGAAACATGGTTCGAACAGCAACTAACGTGTGCACGGAAAGAGAGCAGAGAGAGCAGTCCCGGAACTTGGCGCGGCAAGTAGCCATTTCCAATGGCTACGAAACTGTAGCTCGGGATAAGTGTAGGGAAAATCGGAGGCCCACAAACGACAACTCTTGCAGTAAAAAGGTCCCGTTTATCCTACGCTTCATCTCAAATGATGTAAGTGCAGCTGTAAAACGCTGCTTAAGAAGGGTAGGTCTTAAGAATTCGGTAAACATAGTTGAAATGCCACCGAGTAATTTTAGGCGCCAGCCAGTTCGTAGCCGCTTATATGACCGTCTATGTGCAACTCAAAATTGCATAATTTGCCCCAGTGGTAGAGACGGTGATTGCATGAGCTTGGGTATAGTTTATCTGATCTCCTGTAAGACGTGTGGTGACGAATACATTGGCGAAACGGGTAGAGCCCTTTGTGTCCGCATAAAAGAACACCTAGCCGGCAAACATAAACCGAACACCCCGATAGGCACGCATAGGACCCAGAGACGTAACGGGAAGGACTTTGAAGTATGTGTCACGATCCCCGCACAGGAATCGAGAACACAAGCGCGCAAAACTCTCGAAGCATCCTGTATTACCTCCACGAACCTGAAAATGAACGGCAAGGAAGAATGCCTCATTATCACGCGTGGTAATGGACAGTATATAAACCTGTTATTCTGGCGGGAGAGGCACATTACTCTTCCACGTGAATTCTGTGCGGTTGGTCTTCACGTGACAAACTCAGTGGAAGACTCAGAGAAAGTGGTGAGTGTGCAAGGACTGCGTGTTAAATGCGATTGAAATTTTGGTTTAGCATTTTCTCTGTTTGGTTATGGAGGTGTTTGGCCGAATAGGTTGCTTTCAACTTGACCTTTCCAGGCTCTGAGGAAGGCGAAATCCGCCGAAACGTCAGCTTGTACGTAAATAAAGAAGTGAAATAACACCTTGTGTTTGCTGAACGGAAGTAGAAAGAATTATTCTGTCATAACAATTTCGTGTCTGCTCAGCAAGAAAACAGTGAACAAGTTTGCCTATTCCTTCTTTCCTTTACATCCCTTATTTTCTCTTCCTGGTCATTCGAGCAGTGAATATCAAGGTAAACAACTAAACAGACTTACAAAACAATAATTTTACAAGTTTCAGGGCATAGATGATGACCATACTTGTGTTGGCTGTTCTTATCGCCGACAGAACCCTCTGCTTGACCAGAGAGCAGCTCCTACAGCACCTCAAAGAAAAACAGGATACGAGGAATACCTTTGACTCTCGAGTGCCTCGCTTCATACAACCAATTGGATACGTGGACGGCGAGTACGTTGCCAATATATCTTTCACGCGTTCCTTCATCAAATCAAGGCAACAATTCGTTAAGACGTCAAGATGATGGGTATCGAATCGTTTCCAGAATAATTACTTAGAGTTCCTCCAGCCTTCACTTAATGTCTCCCACACAGCTACTAATTCAATTTGTCATGGAAGTCAGACAAAACTGTAAATGTGGGGAGCATATAAATTGAAAGGCTGAAGCCAGAGAAAAAGATGGAGTCCTCGATTCCTGACGATAGATCCGTTTGGTTCTTATGTCAAACATTAATCATGGGTGCCTAGAACGGCGAAATCTAGAGAAATTTTAAGAAAGCCCTTCGGAAAGTTTTTTGAAGATGTTCATGTGTCTTGACTCGGAAAAGTATAATGCGAAATACAACCATTGTGATGCTGAGATATTTGCAAAACTCGCACTCCACACCAATTCCAACCTGCGTCTACCCTTCCTGGGGCTCACGCGTTACCCGCTGCACCACCGAAGCCTATCGCTTTGCTATTCTCTCAGCCAGTTTTCTACTTAACGGTGCCATTAGTAAACACATCATACGCTGCCGTGGAAACAATAATAAGCAGTAAATAGAAAGTTAACATTATGATTTCGGCTATAGCCTCAGCTCAACTGGGTTCAATGCCGATTTGTGGTCTCCCAGAACATTCCCGCTGAGGGTGATTGCTGATGGTACGTTAGCTAGAAAACTGGTTGAAAGAAAGGCAGGAGGGCAAGGACTTCAGTGGTGCAGTGGATAACACGTGAGCTCACCGAAAGTGTAACAACGGGTGCGAATATGGCCCTGAGTAGAGCTTTCGCTGATATCTCAGTATCACAGTGGCTATTTTCATGACTTTCAAAAACCGACTTTCCTTTAACCTAGTCATAACTAATCAACGTATGTTTCAACTGTTCAGCTCCCATAAGGCTGTTATGAAACTTTCATTCGGCCGACATTTCGACGTTTTTATCGTCTTCAGTGCCGATGATTCGAGTCGATGTCCACAGTTCTTCGTGTGTCTTCATTGTCGTATTGAGTTGGATCTTCTTCGCTGCCCAAGAAAAATTCCACAGCAAGCTCGTGTAAGCTGAGCAATCTAAACACATGTTGATCAGTCATACCGAGGTTAAGGCAAAGTGGGTTTTCAAATATTGTTATGTTTTTTGCTAGCTGATAATGATACCGAGTTCTGTATAACAGGCTGTCCGGAAAAAAACAAATTGTTATCACCGAACAATGATTCCAATAAAAATCCAGCTTCCTGTACAAAAGAGCATCATTGGGTGAGGTTGCTGCATTTCAACGGTACTCTGCTGAAGAAGATCCGACTGGATGCGATAGCGAAGACACCACATCGAGAGTTCGAATGGGTGCGGACATCGACTCGGATCATCAGTTCTGAAGAAGACGAAAACGTTGGAGCGTCAGACAAATAAAGTTTATTTATCGAGTTTATCCATGAAGGAATATACACGTATGTTCAACCAAAAACGATCTGCATATTCGAGGTGGCATATGAGCACTGCATTTTATTAACATAGACCGAACTGTGCCAATTTTAGGCCCATCTGGCCGCGTGTTCTGGACACTGTGAAATCGGAAGCTGAGTTGTTTTTCGATGACGATAATTTCGCCTATCGGGTACGCATATCAGGTCAAAAACAAATTTAAAGTGAATCTGTGAACGACTATACAATCGATTCATTCAGCCGTGGATCTTCTTTTGAAATATGCTACACCCCATTGCGTTACGGTTTTATTACGGACCTTTGCTAAAATGACCAAGAATATATTCGAAGTGAAGAGCCAAATTACGAAAGAAAAAAGTTGGTGTTAATTGGAAAGTAAGTCTCAGACATCCCAATGGTTTACTGCCTCATCGTGGCTCGGAAGTGTTTCTGAGTGTCGAACTGCAATGGACAATGTGGGATTCACTCCTGGCAGGGTCTCCCAACCTGAGAAGGAGCATTTCCATCAGGAAGTCCAGCTAAGAGTAAAGCAATACCAGGATCTACCACCGTCCTTGTACCAAACTAGCCACACGGTATCAAATCTCCTGATCCACGAGGGCTGCGACTGCATGTGGTGGTGACGACCTGGGGCAGACTTTGACTAGGCTGAGCAAATCTCCGAAAAATGAAGATTATGCTGGGGCTCGCACAACCAGCGAGGACGGGTTGTTCAAGTATCAGGTACCAAGTATCAAATTATCAAAGTATCAAAAAAAAATCAAAAAGTTCGTTTCTCTGATTGTTGTTAAGAGTATGAAGGAGATCCTGTTTGCCGCTGCAGTCGTTTTCCGGGCGTCCTTGGGTTGTATCCGCTACTGGGGTGCTATATCGATGGTTAGCCGGGTAATAACAGAAATAAACCGTTTGAATTATGGCATCTACGCATTTTGCTACCATTTCCAGATAGCCCCCTATCGAGATCCAGCGGCTCTTATCCGAAAAATGGACAAGGAGGACAATTACAACAAAGTGATTAGCTTTCTTGAGAAATACATTTAATAAAAACAATAAAGATTAGGTTGTTCGGCATTCAATCATTCCTGAGAGGTGTACTACGCGTTTGACTCATAGCATTGTACAGGTGATTGCTTGCATATCTAGTCTATACAATGACTTCCAGTGAACCACTAGTATACCAAGTTAATGCCGCTATTCTACCAGACAAATCTGGTACCAATTTGCGGACCCCGAAAGGATGGCAGGCTTGGTGAGCTGGAGGAATGGGATCCCATCAACGACCATGTATGTATTCCAGAGCATCTCTAATCACTGTACTACATGCGTACTTTCAATAGCAGTCATAATTTATTTTCCCGTTATAAATAATTTTACTGACAACAAATAGAATTACATTAATGATGTTAAGTCCAATAATAGAATGATACGCGAAACATCTACTGGGACAGAATCAACCGCGAACAAGGAGAAAAAGGTGAAAACTAGCGATGGATCACATGTTGCGCATTCAAATGCCCTAGTAGAACACTTCCTAGCTTTTGAAACAATAAAAATGTCCAAAAAAGGCGGACAGCAGAGCATGAAATAATCCAGTTATGACAAATAAATGCAGTACTACCCGTATCAAGAAGGTCTGGACTAAAAAAGAGATATCAATGACGGAAAGGCGACGACTCCCCTAAGTACCTGAGCGCAAGAGTGGAAGACCGCGTGAGTGGCTTCATCGAAGCCAAGACATCACTGCATGTCTGGGTAGTTGTGGTTGAAGAGCACCGGCATGAAGAACTCGAACACCATCACTATCAAGCACACAGCCAGGGTGTAGAAGATCACAAACACATACAGTGAACGACCCTGAACCCTCTACAGTTAGCAATTATTGGAAAATTTAACCGACTTTTGGAATCTCTAATTTTAATTTTAAATCGTCAAAAATGGAAATGTTACTGCTTTTTCCCTAAGGTCAACCTATTCTTACAGTTAAGGAAAAATGTATTACAAGTATGTCAGAAACTTAAAACATATTGTAACAAATACCGAGAAAGTGAAAACTGAAGGAAAGCAGCAAAGTGAAGCAGAGCTTTATAATAATTTCCAAGATATGGTTTCTATTTGGAGAAAATCGATATCATAACTTTAATGACGCTGAGATGTTTGCAAAACTACAGACCGCAGGTGTCTGCGGTGGGGAACGAACGCGCTATTACCCTTTTCGTTGACTAACGCGTTCGCCACCACACCACGTAGGTCCATCGTTTCGCCTGTCTCTCAGCTAGTTCTATCTATCAGTGCCATCAGCAATAATCCGTCAGCGAGATTGATCTGGGAACCCTAGATGGGCAATGAACTCAGTTAACGCGTTAGCCCCCCGTAAAGGGTAATAGCGCGTTCGTTACCCACCGCAGACACCTGCGATCTGGAGTTTTGCAAACATCTCACGTCATTGAAGTTATATTTCGCAAGGTATCCTGCCGTTAAAAAGAGTGAGTAGCAAATAAGAAGTTAAAATCGACAATATTACATGAGTAAAATATTGCTAATGAGACGTCAATCACCTTTAACGTATTCACATGCTCCGGTTTGTTAAATGGATCCAAGTCGGTGCCCATGGTGATCTCTGAACGAAATCCAGACATATACAGGAGATTCAAATAAAGAAAAAATAGTGAAGCCTGCTGAAAACCTGATAAATATAAGGTCCCAAAGTAAGTGACATTTAGCGACTTTTTCTAGATTTGCTTAACAAGTTTGCAATTTAGTGATTAATTCCACGACGGGATAAAACATCGTTGTAATAGAGTCCAAATTTCCAACTTAATATTTTTACTCACTTTTATGAAAACAAGATCCGTTCGCCATTGGGTAAGCCAATGAACAACTTTTGCAGTTTGGAGTCACAAGTACAGTCGAGCGACCGTTTATGAAAGGTGCGATGTCTCTAAATTCCCGCAAGAAGTTATAATATCGAGGGAATAGAGTATGAGTAACCTATGGGAACTATGGATAATTAGTGAATAGTCGGCAGATGAAAGGCAGTTAAACGATATACAAAGATTAATTCGTTTAAGAATTGAAAAGTTGGAGGTCTTGAAATATGGTGGAAATATGTTCTGTATAGAGTCAAAGGTACAAGAAACGAATAGAGAAGAATGCGGTTCCTAAAAAACCATGGCTGACATTCTTCAAGTGGCCGAATACAAGTGAGTCCACGTAACGGTGAATAAACAAATGAAAAATAAACGAAAAGCACAAAAGAAAAGAAGGCAGGACAGAGAACACAAGCACCATTCAACCACAAGGATGATGAGATATAAGCAAAACTCTGAACGACAGGTGCCCTTCAAGCCTGCAGTTACACATCCCGAGGGCTCACGTGCTATCTACCACACAAACCGATGTCCTTGCTTTCTCTTCCTCTCAGCTACTTTTCTACTCTAACGATGCTCTTAGCGATCAACCTTCAACTGGAATAATCTGGGAAGTTAAAACCTATGAATTCGTCTGCAGCTTCAGGTTAACTAGGTTCAGTGCCGATTTATGCTCCCTAGTTCATTTGATGGGTGGTTGACGATAGCAACGCTTTATTTAAAAAGTGGCTGAAAGTAAGGCAAAGAAAGGGTTAGTGCAGTGTATTAACACGTAAGCCGCCGGAGAAGACAACGTTGGGTTGGATGCGCAACCGAGGCTCTGAGGTTTGCTCATATCTCTCCACTCCTGCGATTGCATTTCACATCATACCGTGCAATAAAAAGATAGGCAGTAAATAAAAGCTGAAAAATATAGCATTTAACAACATGAAGAAATGGATTTTGACCAATCATTCGGTAGAACCGTGTATAAAGAATGTTCAACATCTGTAGCAACATGTCAACATCGCCTTACCTCAGTTTGCTTGACGTACCTGATTGGTTGTCAGAAAGGTGTATAGGATACATTCGGAAGCATATGAGCTCATAGTAGCCCACCGCTTTCTCCATCACGAAACATTCATATGGCTTGTATGGAACATTTCAAAAAATGTCGTTTAAGCACCATGGGTGGCGTGCAGAGTTATGGTCGTGGTTGAAGCATCAACCCACGTTAACCCACGCCTCTGGTGTACAGTAGAGCGCTGGGAGGAACGTTGAGTTGAAAAGTTGAACTTTGAGTTTTGGGTCCGCTAACTAACCGGAGCCCCTTGAGAGGCCTGGATGCGGTCCATACTACCTTACTTTTCTGTATGATTCACGTTGCTCTCCATGTTCACTGCTCAAGGCACAAGGACGAAGTGGTTTCTGTTATCAGAGAACTATCCAGTGCGATCTACTCATTTTCGCATCATGGGCTCTTCGTAAGCTGGGCGCTTGTCCTATTTATGAGCAGTTCAATCTTTTTCCCCCTTTGAACTCATTTAACATTGCGTCTGCCTTGTTGGTACTTTTTGAATGAATGATGGTGTGGTCAGCAAAACGATAATTTGATAGGAATTTTCTATTAATACGTGTGCCCTCTTCGTACTAATTGATTGAATTCATTATCCGTTGCAGTCCAGCAGAAAACAGCTTTGGTGATATTGTGTCGCCTTATAGAACCTGTTTTCTATGGGTGTGGAAAGTGTTCAACAGAACAGATGCATTTTTGCACTGCATTTCTGATCACGGTCAGATAGTGTTCAAATATAAGACGGGTCCACTGCTTGGTCGAGGACTGCTAATAAGACTGCATTTGTTTCGACACTGTCAAACGCTTTTCATAGTTACAAAAGTCAGGAATACGAGCAGATAGTGCTCTCGACAAAATTCTATGACTCGCGACATGGCTTGGATGTTATTCATGCAGCAGAACCCATGCCCAAATCCTCTCTACTCAACTGGTTGCGTCCCACCCAAGGTATTCGATGTGGACAAAATGATAATCTCAGTTGACATCTTGTACAGGACACTCGGTAGGCATATTGAACGATAGCTACGAAGATTTGTGACCTTCACCTCGAAGCAAATGGCAGCATACATTGTATCGGGTTCCGGAGCTGTGCCACTTTTAGTGCTTTTTATCGCAGCTCAACTTCAGAGGGTAGAAAGGAGCTTTTCGTCCAGCAGAGATTTTGGCTACGAAATGGGATTGTGAGAAGCGAAGGATTGGCAAAAAACTTTTCCGCTATCAATTCCATATCATGGGAGAATGTGGTAATGGTCCCATATTCACTCATCAGGAAGCATAGCACAACAATATAGTCGCGTAGATTCCAACGCCACTTCTTCGAAACATATCCTTTTTGAGCTGGTTCCGATAACTTTTTTCGCATTCACTCCTCCTACAGGAATCTTCTACAGCTGTCATTTATTAACGGCGATGTTGTGTTGCAGTAGGCTCAAACCTCAGTTTCTTTCTCCCTTCGAGTGACTGCTTAATGGTAATAGAGATGTATGAATTTCTTGTTCGAGAAATTGAGGAATTTCTTCGTATTTTTGTTGAGCAAACGCAAGGTGTTACTATTCTTTGTTCACGATTAAGCTGACGTTTCGGCGGATTTCGCCTTCTTCAGAGCCTGGAAAGGTCAAGTTGATAGCAATCCACTCGGCCAGATGCCTCCATAACCAAACAAAGAAACTCCAAACCAAGATTTCAATCATTTTGAACACAGCTTTGCACACTAACCGCTTTCTATGAGGTTTCCACTAAGTATGTCACGTAGAGACCAACCGCACAGAAATCACGTGGAAGTATAATGTGCCCCTCACATCAGAAAAGCAGTTTTATATACTGCCCTATATCACGCGTGATAATGAGGCATTCTTCCCTGCGGTTCATTTTCGGATTTCTGGAATTAATCCAGAGTGCCTCGAGAGTTTTTCGCGAATGTGTTCTTGATTCGCGTGCGAGGATCGTGACACATACTTCGAAGTCGTCCCCGTTATGTCTCTGGGTCCTATGCGTGCCTAGCGGGGTATTTGGTCTATTTTTGCCGGCTAGGTGTTCTTTCATGCGGACACAGAGGGGTCTACCCGTTTCGCCAATGTATTCGTCACCACACGTCTTACATGAGATCAGATAAACTATACCCGAGCTCATGCAATCACCGTCTCTACCACTGGGGCAAATTATGCAATTTTGAGTTGCACATAGACGGTCATATAGGCGCTTACGAACTAGCTGGCGCTTAAGATTACTCGGTGGTATTTCAACTACGCTCACCGAATTCTCTAAGCCCGCCCTTCTTAAGCAGCGTTTTATAGCTGTACTTATATCATTTGAGATGAAGGGTAGGAAATGAAATGAAAAAAATGAGGAATTTCTTCCTATCAGCGGACAATCACGGCTATCCACCATCAGCAACCCGCATAAAAGGGCATCACTGAGTGAGGATGCCTCATTCGAGGAGATGGCTCACTGAGAAAGACCTGACTCGACACGAAGGCGAAGCTGCCACGTCGAGACGAATAACAAGCGTGGACCATCGACTCGGATCAACGGCTCTGAGAAAGACGAAGACGTTGAAACGTTAGTCGAAAATAAATATCATTACCAACCTCGTGTAAGCTCATCAAAGAAAGAATACAAATTGAGGAGAGTTTAGCACAAGTTTTGAATCCTTCGACATGCAGCTTGTAGGCTTTGGAGGGGTCATCCTTTACCTGCGAGTCATATGAGGAAAGGATTTTTCCTCCGAATATTCTTGTCATACACGACTTATCTTGGTCGATGGTAAGACTTCCTTTTCAGCTTATGGCAGACCAGAATTTTCGCACTAAAAGAACCGGTACAGGTCCAATACAGAATTCAGGTGCCGATGAAGTGTCAATACCAATTTCTTTTCGTGAGAACATGGTCGATCTCCGCATGAGTCGTGCCGTTAGGGGATTTCCGTGTCCATCGGCGATCTTCTATCTTCTTGAAACAAATGAACTATGTATGTGGTCACCATAAAAAAAACCACCCTGACAAAGTCGAGTGAGGAGATGATACTACTAAGAATAAATCGGAGAAAAATTCACTTCATAAAAATCTACGGTACCGCTAGTAAAAAAATTTTCTTTGGAAGAAATTGCGACAAATGTTTCAAAATTGTGGCACCACGTAATATGTCTAGCACAATTTTTGGCTTTAACAACGATTGCAGAGGACGAGACCTTAACGACGTTGATTTCGTACTGCAGTCACAGAGCGCTACAACGATACTCTTGTTGAGATCTCCGAACCAGGGTTAGGCATTGTCACAAAAACGAATAGAGTTACATGACCTGCAAAATCTTCGGCAGATGATAACGGCATTTAGTTTGCTACACATAAACATTATGGCATTATGGTACAGTATCATAGTGCATATGTTTCAAAACAGAGTGAAACAACAACAAAACAACAATAACAGAATATTCCACCTTCGTGCTGCACTGGGTGAAAGAGAGCGTTAGCGGCGTAGTAACGAAAGAAGAGCGATCAATAAGAAATATTATACGCGAGGAGAAGTCTCGAATGGATCACATGATGCAAGCTTGCATAACAAGGACCAGATGAAGATGATAGAGGGATACATGTTTTCCCAAGTCAACCTTCACCATGATAAACAGGCCATTTAGATGGAGGACGAAGAGAGGAGTGGGAGTGGGAGAGAGTGATCGAAACCTTTCACTTTTATATTTTTCGAGGCCTTTCGAGCAGTTGGTGAGGGTAGGTTATGGCAGTGGAATATGAGGATGGCTTCAGAATGACAAGAACACTTTAAAAGATTCTTAAGATTAAGGCATATCTACCAAGACATTTTAAAAGAATTAAGACTAAGATTTGGAAGAACGTCCTGGATATTCTTGCAATTCGGGGTCATTATGTATTCGCTGTAGATTTCAACACTTACAGAACTTCCTCAATAAATTGGGCAACTGCTGAACTTTCCACTTGGTTTTCGGGATGTAATTATGCCAGCATTTAACGCGTCCAATTTAGGCATACATATCCCGGTTCATATTAATGCTACGAAAAGAAATGAGAACCATTAGAATCGATGAATTATTGCACTAAGTAAAAAAACCAAGCATATGACAAGAGCTTAGCTGCTGAAGCTCACGAATTCTCCACAGCTATTTTCAGCAACGGATCGAAATCAGAAAACTTTCTCTGTAATTGATTGTCAAGATGCTTTAAAATATAGGGGTCAGTCACGGCGAAGTCTCTTGAGTGCACTGAATGTGATGGACTCTGTATAGCCGTCTCTTCTAAACTTATGCAATAGTGATTGGGCGAAGTGCAATCGGTTTTTGTTGTGCAACAAATTTTTCTGGCTCCCTAATTAGGTGCAACGCTGACATGGTTGGTGTTTTCGCGGTTTCACGCCCAATTTTCAACTACACAAGTAAATTGATCAAAATTGCTTTTTTTCATTCTAATGGACCACACCCCTACCAATGCCCTTCAAGCCACATGAGACGCCTTGACTAGGCAATGTCCACGATTAGAAGGAGACTCAAGCAACAATCTAAGACAGTCATAATGAAGGCTAAATCCTCAGCCAGCAGCCGGCACAACACGCGGTATGTTCGAAGACCATTGTGGGCAATGACTACGAGGAAAACAAAAATGCAAGAAGTAAGGATCTACATATTAGTTGCGACGACAGGTCATTCAAATAAAGAAAAGTGAAAAAAATCTAGAAATCTGCTTGTTATTAGGGCACCCAACGAGAGTGTAAAGGCAAAAACTAATTCAAAATAAGGTACCAGAATTTTTCAATTGATAATGCCGATATTCTCCAAAACCTATTAGTTTGATGCTTATGCCACAGTAACTTATGCCTATGGTTGCGTTGGGCGCGAGTGGCGCAGGGGTCGGAGGCGCCCTGCAACGCACATGTGAAAAATTGACCCCGCGCCCATAGCCCACCAAACCTTCCACTCCTCCAGGGTCGGCAAATTGGTAGCAGACTTGTTCGGGAGGATAGCAGCACAGGCTCCATACACTGGCAGGCCACCTTGAGTCATTGTGAAGGCCAGATATGCATTCGTCCGTCTCCAAACGACGCTTAATGAAGTTGAATGCATGGCACATTTCTCAGCGTTTGATCAACACTAGTAGCTTAAGAACTTAATCTAGTTTTTTATGGTTGCGTTCATGCTAAATGGTTTTATTTTCAGTTAAGTTCTGTAAGAGTAAAACCGAAGCTACTTTCGGGATGACTGAGAGTTAAGCTTTAAATCGTCGACGATTTTGTTTAAAAGTCGATGCAAGTTTGTCTTACTGCTTAGGTACACCTTATGCATTTTTTGTTAAGTCACGACGGCAATGTTTGATCACTCAATCTTTGACAAATATCAAGCACTCGTAGTAATCAGCGACTGAAATCCTGAACATTCCAGTGTTTTATCGCACAATTAAACACCAACTATTCATGGAGTGACTGTATGTTTACAGTTATGCTTTTATGTTTGAACCATCAACAGTTCTGGGTAATTTCATTGACGGAGTTCTGGCTGAAAGAGATGCTCGTGCTCACCATGTGGACAATGCTTCTGGAGAAGTGCATTCTGTCGTCGTTCATGCGGCACGAAGCCGTTGACGGTCAGCTCGATCTGCTCATCCATTAACTGACTGATCCACTGCGATAGCCTGGAATATCGTTTTTCATCGTATCGCTGTATTCGTCGGTTTCGCACGACTTATTATTTATCCGAATTTTTAAAGCCTTTGCACCAACTATTTGTATTCAAACTATTTCCTCAAAAGTGTACGGACAGTTTCTGTTACTATCATTTTATTGTCACATCTCATTGATTTTCACTACTTCATGTATTTTCGTTTAATAGTTTCACGGATTGTTCTTTAACTCCCATGGAACATTACATTGCCGTAATCGTCATTATCCTTCTCAATAGCTGTTCAATTAGGACTGAAGACGTTGGATGAGAAAACAAAAAGGCTTCACAAGACTGAAATATATTCAAGATATGCGTTAATTTGGAAACTGGGATTAAAAATATCGAAAGTAAAATCCGTAAAATTGAAAAACTAAGACGGGCGCAGAGAGTACAATGGATCATTACGAGAACGGTGCTGGTTCGATCGCACCCCAAGGTCATCACGAACATTCTCATCCTTCTGGCGTCGGGAAAATGGTACCAGGTTTGCCAGGGAAAACATCAATATTTGCAATCCAAATCGGAACGCTCTAGCCGGGCTATTTCAGGACTCGACTGAGAATCGAGTCTATCAGCATTGAACGGCATTTATGGCGAAAGAAAAAGTACGAGGAAACGAATCGAATGCGAGAAGTGCTGGGATCCGCATCGTAGATATGAAAGACAGGTCGTATAAAAAAGAAACTAAAAAATGGAGTGGATAAGTGGAAAACAAATTTCTTCTCGTAAGATCTCTTTTTTCAAAATAAATTGTCTTCTCAGTGGCCTATGGAAATAAACAAAAGCAAGCTAGATTATTAAAAAGTAATCACTGAATGCTCCCGTAAATATGGAGATCGAGGCTGACCAGAATTCATTCACCTAAAGAGGATCACTGTACGTTTTCTTCAAAGGCCAAGGAAACGTTGATGTGACTCGAAGGAAAGTAATCACACCGTTGATGATTGCGTTGCACACCTTGTAGCAGACTATTAGCTAAGGAAGGGCTTCAATAACCCCATAAAAGTCCTGAGAATTTGGAGATTTTTCAAACGAGGCAAGACGTTTACCTTCGTAATCTGAGCAAAACAATTCTTCAGCTCGTACAAAAGTGATGACCACTTTTGTTTTCGTGAAATTGGCAGAAACGAAATGCAGTGATATATTCGTGACTTAGATCACTCTTGTGCACCATTTAAAGTTTTTCTCTTTACTATTTGCCGCATAAAATATTTTTAGCTCATTTTGCTGTTTACTAGCTGATAATGATACCGACTTCTCCAGGATGGATTGTTCGGAAAAAACAAGTTGTTCTCATCGGACAAACACAACTATCAACCATTAGCATACTGTATGAAGGGCATCACCGAGTGAGTATGCCTTATTCGAGAGGTGGTCCACTGAGGAAGACACAATTCGATACGAAGGCGAAGACGCCACATCGAGATGAAGAACAGCTGTGGAATATCGACTCGGATCATTCGCTTGGTGAAGGCGAAGATGACGAAACGTTAGCCGAATAAAGATTGTTTATCAATCACGTGTAAACTTACTCAAAGAAAGAATACGTATAATTTTAGCGCTTAATTTGCAATACTGAAACGAGCCTGGATTACACCAGAAGCGTGAAAATCTCATCTTTTGCATTTATACTTCAAACGAAGCATGAAGTGACGGTTTTCTTCATTATTTTATTTTAAATAAACCAACACCCCAATATGTTACGCACAACAATTTCTTTCATTCTATTCGTTTTCCTTCAACCGTCATGCACAAAGATATCCGGATTTCTCTATGGATTCGGCTACTGCTTCGGAGTTCTATTGTTTCTTGTGAATGTCATTTGTTGCTGGTCGAATCGATTCTCCATAAAATTCAAGGGTGGACGATGTTAGGGCACCCAGTTCCTGATTTCGTACACCATCTCTAGTGGATTGGATGGACCTCTTCCAGCAAGTTTGCTACTGATTTCCTGACTTGGATTGGTGAGAAGATTGCCTGGCGCGAAGTAGGTTGAAACCAGCGTCGTGTCCGTATTGAATTATATATTTACTGCTGCGCTATCCACACAGATATGGGCAGGATATCAATGATATGTATCAAAGATCGCGATGCACATATTTATAACTGTTCAATAAAAAAATCCGATCCAACCAGATCGCCGCGATGAATCTGCTTTCCTCCTTTTCCATAAAGCAAACACAGCACACATTTCGATCGCACTGTTAAGTACAATGAAAAGTGAGGCCCTACATAACCTCAACTTTCCAGTTCAAAAATTAGAGATTAGCTTGCATTCAAACTGTTGATGAGGAAATTCGAAGACATCTCGGGATCTGGATACAGGAGAACGAATAGACTGGAAACGAGTACTAAAAAAAGCACAATGCGTTATGTTGGGCCACGTAAACAGATAAATAAGATTCCCAAGACCGACTTTCTGTTAACCTCAGCATTAATTGATAATTCAATGTTTTTCTTTAATAAGTAGACACGAGGTTGTTATTATAGAATTTATTAGGATACAATAGCTGACGCTTCGGCGGTTCTGCCTTCTTCAGAGCCTGGAAAGGCCAAATTGAGATGCGATCTACTCAGCCAAACACTTTCATAATCCCAGCAGATGAAACTTAACAAATAAATTCTGTGAGGCGACTATCCATCAACTAACTTAAATACTTACAACAAGAGATAAATAAGAATTACACCAAAATATGTCTATGGCGTCTATTCGTTTTCAGTAGAAGAAATTATCTAAGATCAAGTGTTTAATCCTGTCTAACTATCAAAGCAGGAAGGTAATGTCAGGAAAGGTATGAAAGCAAATAGAAAGTATTGTCTACGTATCCGGACATCTCTAACAGAAATGCTCTAATTTAATTGGAAAACAACGCTCGAGAACACATTGTAGAACTAACACCGCAGAAGTTGAATGAGTTGAGACCTTGTCTCACTATAGTCGTAATTCTTTGCGCTAATCAACAAATGCCTTTCCAAAGCAACTCCTTAACTACTATCAGAGGAACTCTTCAACAAGCCGACTTTGAAGGATTTATCGCATCCGAAACTTCAGAATTCTAAGCTATCGAAGGAAGAAATTGCACATTATTCTCAGAAAATGAGCAGATACTAATGAATCTTATTAGAGTCGTGTTTGAGCAGGGTTATAGCCTTTTCAAATTATCGCTTGAAATAGGATTACCAATTGTATCATATCGGAAAATCGGCCATTATTTTTGTTCCGGTCGTTTTCCCACTGGTTGCTGGACTTAATTGAAGCTAACGGTTGTAATCGTGTCGATGTTGTGATGTCATAGAGAAGACCATAAGAAGTAAATAAGTGCAAATATTTCCCCAAAGTTAGGCAATCTTTCCTTAACGTAAAAAACAGAGAATCTTGATCGAACCGATTAATGTGGAGCTTTCTTTGTTCGTTATCACTTCCGCGCCTTTGGAACAAACAATTTAGATTGTGGTAGTTAGAAAATCAAAAATTCATGCAAATATCCGAACGACTGTGGCAAACTATTACAAAGGAATATGAGGAATAATCTATACGAAAGGTGCAAGAAATGAAAGGCAATCACGAAAAGCTAGTGTTTAAGAAAAAAGCGAGAATTTATGGGAAACCGGATCAAGATTTTCATAGCTCTCAGAAGCATTTCCATTCCATCAGCAGAGGAGCCGACCAAGCTTGTGTCTTCGCCAACACGAGCTAGCCTTTTGAAAAAATAATGAACTGAATCGGACGTTTACAATAAAAGAGAAGGAGAGAGGTATGGGCCTCTCTTGGGAATAATCGCCTACTGAGCTCCTTTCTAGACAAATCGAAGATGAAATGAAGAAAATAGAGCTTTCATCATTGTTTAAATTTTTAGGGATAAAATGATGGAAAGCTTCCGACGCTGAGAATGGACGTGTTCATGCATATGACTTCATCAAGCTTTGAAGAGATGACTGATATCTGGTATGTACAATTGCAGTGGCCAACCGATGTATCAAGTCAATGCTTTTCTCCTCCAAAACAAGTTTGATACCATTTTGCCTATCTTAGAGCAAACTTTTAGTGAGCCGGGAGCGTGGAAACCAATGACAACATGTTTATTTCAAGGTACTTCTAAGTACTGCCTTACGCACATTGAAAATGAAAACAGCTCTCTTACTTGAACTTGAGAAAGCTCCACAGCGAATGTCGTAAATGTAAAACATCTTCGCCGACGATTTCAACGAATCTCTTCAGAGAAACGATGTCCACATCGGGACACACAGATTCGAAACAAACCGTCAGAGTAGGTGCCTACATGAGTTCATCATTATAAGAAGAACCGAACGCTAATGGGGACTGGAAATTTCAGAAATCCTCCTTTCTACTCCAAACTATTTCCAAAATGATAACAGCGCAAGAGAAATTCATCACGCCAGAGTATGTTAAACACTTTTCTTGACCAACGTCAGCATTGTTCCAAAGTTGCACGTGGAAATAGACCATCGCCGATTTCGCACAAGACTGTTTTTTCGCAGAAAGGAGAGAAAGTCACAAATTTCCAGAACGAAATTCGAAATTACAAAAAAAACCTTTTTTAGAACTTGTCCTCTTCTTTGATCGGTTTTTGAAGATACTATGAAAAGGATAGGATCACTAAACTTTTCGCAAGTATACTAAAACAAAGTCGTCTTAAGGTTGTTAAAGAACGACCCCTTTAAGAAAACTCTCCAAGTGATACATGGTGCGGACGAATCGCTTTAAACAATTAAATTACGAACTTGCTTACTAAGGTCTGCAGAAAACGGACAAAACGAGATATTGAATATCTCAAAGAAGGAGGTGGGAGACAAGGGCAGCAGTTCTAGCTGAAGATGCGAATGTTGGCAACAGCAATGGCCATGGTCCCACCGACTTTGTCAATTACAAGAACACGATGATCGAAAGGAGAATGTATATATCTTCAAATCTTATTCTCTTCCAATGT